TTGTGTTCAATTGAACTTGATAACAATCGCATTTGATTGTGCGCTGATTATAAAATTGAATTTAACTTAAATATTCAAATTGATGTAAAAGTTTTTCTTTATCAACAATTCATCTAATTCTTTACCAATCTAATCTCAACCAGTCCAGACAAGAGAAAGATTTTGATTAACTTGAGTTACTTTTTAGCAATTAAGTTAATCAGTTCAATATTCTGGTTCGATTTACAAACTAAATAAGAAGTAATTTCATATAACTGAAAAGAGATAAATTTTTCATGTTGATTTATATTCATGTGAATGTGTTGAGATGATCATTTTTTGTCATTATGCTGATTAAGGTGCTAAAGAAATAGAGAAGAAGAATGAAAAAAGAAAGAGACCAAAGATAAAGATGGAGATAAATAGATGATAAAATATGTGGGAAGATGAGAAAAGTTGAAGATGAAAGATGAGGATGTGAAAGTTAAGAGATTCGATTTGGAATCGATCAGAAAATTTTTCATCATATCTTCTCGATCTTATGTTTGTGCGAGTGAGAGATGAACTCGGATGATGAAAAAGATAGAGATGAAAAAACGCTCTGTCAGATATGAAAAAAAACATGGAAAAGCTCAGGATGAAAATGATAGAAAAGGGTTGAGTGTCTATTGAGGCGGAAGTAAAATATGAGAGAGCAAGTGGATGAGGGAGATTCACACAGATGAGAGTTGAAGAAGATAAAATGAAGAAAACAACAGTCACTTAAAGTAAGAGATTAAAACGGATGAGAAAAATATGAATCAGTGATGGAGAAGAGGAAAGTTCATCATGATACTTTCTTTCATCATCTGCATCACTTTTTATCATCTTTCTCTATCAACTGAATTAAACTGCTACAACTACATAGCAACGGTTGAGTTAATTCATCATGACGATTAATTATTATCACCATGATATGAAGATATTGTCATATTATATATTGGTGACACTCCTCATGATTTTCCATGATGATCTATTTCATCCACCCACCAATCTACCTGCTCTCTTCCACCTTGATCATTTGTTATTCATCATAACAATTCAAATTGTAATATACAGAAATTAATAATAATCGTTTGATATGAATGATATTGTCATATTATATATTTATCCTGACACTCATGATTTCATGATGTTATCTATCATTTATGTACCACCAATCTACCTTTCTTCCTCCTTCTGTTATTCATCATAACAATTCAAATTGTAATATACAGAAATTAATAATAATCATATTTGATTGTTATTGATACTTTTTCCTAACCCACTCCTTGTTTAATGAATGTAACTTATGGGCTTCATATCAAGGTAAACATTATCCAGAATATTTCAATATCCTGAATAACCGGAAACAGATAACATTTCCAAGTTTCCTTTTATGCTTGTTGACCACTTTGTGTGTTCACATGATTTCCATTTATTTCCCCACAACTCAATCCTCATCCTGTGTTACCTGGATGAAGATTAATTTTATCATTATTTTTTTCATTTCAAAGTTTTCAATATTGCTCCAGGTGATATATTCATGTAAAAATTTCTGACAATAGGTCAACTCTTGAACTAAAAGGTAAATTCAAAGTTAATTAATGAGATTAACATGATAATTGGGCATCATTAATTTTCATCACCACTTTTAACAATCTATTTAGCATCAATGGATTAAATTGATGATAATATTTTGATCAAAACGTAAACACTTTCGGCACTTTCTCATTAATACATTTCCTCAAATCGATCAGTTTTAATTCTGGTAACAGTTTTACCATTGCTTCTACTTGATGACTTTTGTCAATCGGGGAGCCTCTGATCGCAAGATTCGAGGATCACGGAAATTTCAACGAGATTAAAAGGTGAACACAAAGGTTTCTCGACGCTCACTTTCTTGGTTACAATCAAATTTATGAAAATTAGATAAAAATTGGATGGAAAGGATTCCGAATCAAAAATGCTATATCTCTGCAACTAAAAATGTCCATAAGTTGTAAACTCGTTAGAAGCCTCATGATGTAAGTTTATTTGATTGTGACCATCAAATGACCTTGAAACCGTATCCTAACGGAATGACCTTGATATTGTAATATGACAATTGAGTATCGTCCAAACTACCATAACTTGAGTCTGAATACTCAAAAACAAAAAAGTTATTTAAGAAAAACTCGTTGGAAGCTCGGTGAAATGTCCTGTATAATTTAACATTGACCTTTAAGCATCCATAATCAAGAATGACCATTTGATAGTTGATCATAAATCTTGACCATATAATTGACTGAGATGACCTCTCTCTCTCTCTCTCTCTCTCTCTCTCTCTCTCTCTCTCTCTCTCTCTCTCTCTCTCTCTCTAGCTCGTTTCTTGTGCTCACCCATTTTATGTTTCGTCATTTGTTACCCTTGAGAGAGACTGGAAATTTCAGACTGAAAGAAGAAAGAAAAATAGACAGAGATGAAGATACTTTTTTCAGTTGTAATGTAATGGTTGAAGAAACCCAATGAATACCTGATTGATTACGATAAGATTGCATCAGAATGAGAATCAGAAACTGAATAAATATTCAAAGTTCTGGCTAAGTTTTCATTTGCTTTTCTATTGTTTCCCTTTCCTTTTCTTTCTCCCTCCCTCGCTCTTTCAATGAACATACACCACGAAAAAACCATGAATATCATCATGAAGATCATCAAATGTAATCAATCTTACTTTGGATAGAAAATGAATCAAATGGAGAAAAACAAAAACCAGTAAAAACGATTTCAGAATAAAACAGATTCTATGTAATAATATAATGATCTAAATCAAGATAATAATCTTGATGATATTTAAACTATACTCAAGTTCACGGAAACTGAATCTGAAACACTGAACTTCAAATCTTTTCTCCTCAATTTTGGACTATTATTCATATGTAACATTATGGACTCACATGAGAAGTTCATATCTCATGTAGCTCCAAAAAGTTCACTTGAATTAGAGGCCACAAATTTGAGATATTTGTATCATTTGAATTGTTCCCTGTTCTCAACCCTACCCACAAAGAAATAGAAAAGAAAAAGAAAAATCAATCAAATAACATTTTCTTCTCATCATTATTTTTCCTTTCATCATGCAACTCACTTCCTTGTCTTCATCTTCCTCATCATCTTTATACTATCATGTTCATATTATTATTGATACTTCCGCCTTTCAGCTTTGATCTACTTGTATTTGTGATCTTCCGACCCTTTGATCAAAAGTAACTCCGACTACTTGAGATGATAAACTTTCCAATTTCAATTTGAAATCTTTTGTTTCATCCAACAGGAAAATGAAAATAGTAACTAAAATAAATGATGAAAACTAATTCATCTTGAATTTTGCTCCCTCAAAGTATTCATAGTAATACAAATTATCACCAAAACGTAAATTGATCACTGAACCAATTTTAGTGAAATCTACTAATTCACACACATTCATTGGTGAATTTACTGACAGTCATTATGAAACAATAAAACTCTGAGACTCTACAACGATGGAAATACATATTTCATGTGAAATAAGAATCAGAATCAGAGTTTGAAAATATACAAAATTGAAACATAAAAAAATAATATTTTTGCTCTTAAAAAAGTTGAACTGTATTTGTATTTCCACCATTGGATTTGCATTGGAAATTCAATCAACTGCAAATAGTTTTCTCTTAGCATAAAAATATTACAATATTGAAATTATATCATCAAGATAATCATGATTATCATTCCATGATGATAACAGAATGGTGATGATAAGGATACGCTCGAGGAAAGATTGAGAAAAAATAATCAATAGATAGAAATTGAATATTATTCTGGTATTCATTTTTTTCTTTGTATTTCCCATGAAGAGCTTATGTTTTTATGTATATTTTGTAGGTGATGATGTTATTTTCCCGATTACACTACCACTAACATGATGATGATGAGATGAATTGAATTGAAAAGCTCATTGAAATGATAAACAATGAATTTGAAACTTACATCTTATGATCATCATTCATTCAGATTTCCAATCCATTTGATTGGAATCCTTTTTTTTGTTTCTCATGAATCTTTATCATGATTTTGAAATGAATACAATTCTCATCGAGTGTCTCAGATTTTGTGCTCATCTTCTTGGTCTTTTCTTTGCTCCATAATTTCATCATTTCTGATGATTCTTTCACCTCACTTAGCACTCAGAACGTAAAAATATCAAATCATCTTGATATTATTTATCCTTATCTTCATGAGGATACTTGAGTCTCTCGTTGACTTTTCAGATTATGACGCAATCCTGAACTTCTGATAATGATTGTTGACATTCAATGACATGATATTCATGGATTTCAAAAGGAAATGATTCCAATTGGTGTAAAGATTTAAAGAAATGAACAACAGTCACCATGTTATAACAAATAACAAGACAATTGTCTTGAATTTTTAGTCTTTCTTATTCACAGGAAATTCAAAAGTTATTCTGGTGAAAATTTTTGATTGTAATGAGCTACAATTTAAACTTTATTATCGTTCAATTGTTCAAGTAATAAGTTACAATCAACTCTATTTGAAAGTAAATCCATGGGGGTAATCAAAGATTCTGGGATTGAAAAAAAAGTTCTGACACTGAATTCAATATCTAATACAATGTATAATGATTATCACCAAGAAAAAAAAAGATTGAACGAAAAACATCTCATATAAAATTATCTCAAAATTCATGGAATTGATTAGGAAATTGTTTCGAACTCAATTGTTGACAGTTTGATGGTAGTTGATTGATATTTATTATAAACAATATTTCATCGTCAATCGAAGTGGCAAATTTATCTCCCTCTCTCTATCTCTTGTGAATAAGTGAATGAGTGAGAAAAAATTCTGATTACATTGCATTGGAGGTTAAAACATTGTGTTAAAAACCACTTATCAATCATGATTAAATTTAATTACTGACCATCAAGATGACTAATATTTTGTTTGAACATTTCTCAATTTGTCAGAATCTTCATCATCTTCACCCTCATCGCCTCATCACCATCAAAATCATCATCGCCATCCTGTTGTTGTTTTCATTCATGGGGAATCATATGAATGGAATTCAGGTTCTGTCTATGATGGATCAGTTTTATCTTCTTTTGGTAATCTGATTGTTGTAACAATAAACTATCGCCTTGGTGTCTTAGGTAAGTAAATTCATGTAACACAAATAATGAAAAAGTGAATTTAACAAAAACCATGATGATCACAAATATCGTCATGATGCTTGGAAGAATACAAAAGTGAGCGAATCAAAAATAATATTATAATAGATTTTCAGAATCATCATCAAGAAGGATGAACCATTTTCATGGTAGGAATCATAGGAAACTAAACAGGAGATTTCCATTTAACTATCATGTAGCTAATGATATTGAAATAACAATGAACGACCATGATGATTGTTGATGGTTTGAACCACAAGAAAGCAAAACAAAAAACTCCATCATGATGATCGTTACCCTCATGGTGATGATAACGATTATCAACACAAACTATTAGTATAAGTTGATTGTTGAAAGTTTAACAATCTTTCAGGTCAATTTGAGTCGATTTCATAAAAGCTCATTTTTATTACATGATGAAACTCATTGAACTTAGACACTTAATACAATGTTAAATCACTACAAGATGATTAGATGATGATATAAATAGTATTCTGGTCAATTTCATGATCAATTTTCAATGACACCTTGTTAAGGTAACGTAAAAAAAGATTCAGAAGAAAAGTTTTTCATTGATTCCATGAAAAACTCACATTTAATCATTATAAACGGAATTTACATCATTCCAACTTTTTAGTGTTTTACCTGAGAAAATTTCAGTTTATCTCATGAATTATCATTAACCATTTTGACATGAATAATATGAATGATTCTGATGATTCTGATGATTCTGATGTATTTGATTGTTACAGTTAAATGGTTTACTTAAGGTCATCGACAGTTTGATTCTGTGAATGGTTGTCTCAGATAATGTCCTGGTTCCATCATGATATCAGATTCATGATGGAAACTTTTTCCTCCTACCTTGATGTATTCATTGATCATTTCCAGATTAATGATGAATCTTTCCAGTCTACCCTGTGGAACTGTATGAATAACATGAATACTCAATGATTCTGATAATATTATCAAGGTATCAGTGCATGAAATTCATAAGTAAAAATAATACAATTAGTTGATTGTTCAATTGTAGCAAAATCATCATTAAATTTACGCCCAGTGATAAATTTGTGACATTTGAATCCATTGATTACAAATTAACCTGAAAATCAGTAAGAAAATTATACCCATCAAGATGATGATTATCATCATGATTATTATTAATATGATAATTAGTCATTACAATTATGAATAACGGTTGTAATTAATATCAACAATCATGATATCATAATTATCAACCGATTAATTTTTGCTCCAAAGCGATTAAGATTTAGATTAATTGATTGATTTAATTTTGATTTTGTTTCCATGATGATTTGTTAATATCATCACAATGGTGATAATGATATTACAGGTAAGATAATGATGATGATAAACTTTGTAAGAGTTAATGAAGACTTTTTTATCTCTCTATTTATATTATATTGTATGTCAATTGAATGTCAATGTGTATACGTTGTTTAAATTGTTTGATTTAATAGAAAACTTAATCAACTGATCACAATTCAGTTCACGATTTAAAGATCAACCTTGGCTAGGAATATAACTGTTTATCATCATCATCATCATCTCATTATTGAGGAACAAGAAAGTTAATAGTTGAATTAACAATCAACGGGGAGTTATCATGTAATTCAATTTTCATCAGCACTTTTTGTTCAGCATCCATGTTATCACCGATTGTTGGGTGAAAAAAAATATTATCTCATTTTTGATAGAAAGTATTAATATATTAATATATTTGACCTTTCCTTTGGTCTTTCAACTTTGGGCACTTAAAGGTTTTTATCCAGCCATGGACGGGTCATCTAGAGGTAACTTTGGCCTAATGGATCAAGTAGCCGCTCTTCATTGGGTCCAGGAAAATATCATTGAATTTGGAGGTGATCCGAGTAATGTTACAATCCATGGACATGGACATGGAGCTGCATTGGTCAACCTGCTCATGTTATCACCAATGGCTAAAGGTAAATTATCATTTTCTTACCAGAATATATTCAGACGTTGATTATCATTATCATACTTTTCTTCATGATAACTTATTCATAGAGTTGATTGAAGTTTCAGACTAACATTGATCGTTGTACCTTGAGGCAATTCTGATTATTCTGAATGGCCATTTCCAATGTATTATTAATAATAATAGATGATTGAAAATCAAATGATAAATAATTGGCAAGAATACATCTAATATCTTGAGGAAAAAAATTCCATCTCTCTGAACATTAATGAACTTTAATAAAGTGATAAATGCTAATGGTCATCTTTTCACCAATGACCATTATTTCAAATATGTTGATACTGAATTTATTTCATCTTTTTTTCATATCATCATCATCATTATCATTATCATCATCTTGAGAACATGTAATAATACTGACATGTATTGAATCACAAATCAGTGAGACAATATCAATACACAAACATTGATGGAATTATTTTTTTATCATTCGTAACGATAAATATCATGATATTGATCAGAATCAAATTGAAATTCAATTCACGATAAAACGTAAAGTAAAATGATTCTTTTAGTTTTTCATTTCAATGGTCAATCTAATGATAAGTTTATAACCAATGGTCAAGAAAAAATACTAGAAATTATGACCATTGAATGTATATTTATATTATTTGATTTAAATGACCACTAACTGACCATCATAAACTTTATTCTAGAAACAATTAAAACATAAAAAAAAAGATAAAAAAAAGTGGAATAATATTAATATTTAATTGAGACTCTCAAATGATATTAATATGATTTACATGTCGAGTTGTAATTGTTAATTTGATGATAATCAATGTTCAATCATGATTATGTCATGTCAACAATGATTATGTGTAATTTGGTGAATTAAGTGTTGCTACTTGAATCCACACCCGAAAATGCTGAAGATGAAAATGCTGGAACAAGATGATGATGATTAGTAGGAAGATAATCAGTGAAATGTTTCAATAAGAAGATAATTTTGCCATCCAATTAAGAGGATTTAACAGTTAAGTAGTTGTTAATCCTTTACCTTTTAACCATTTTCTTTATCCATGTTTATTTTTTTTCTGTCCAACAATCAACCAATTTACTATCAACACAAACTATTAAGTCACAAACAATTTATTATAATGACAAATCATAATGATTAGTACAATTAGCTAACCATTAACTCTGTCAATGATTGTTATTGTTTTTATCGATTACTTTTCCCTTCATAATCTTCTGGGTTAAACTTTCAATTCTGAGAATTAGAACTTTTTTTCTTGACCTTTACCTTTGTCGATTTTTTCAGACTATTACTCGATAATTAGCTTGTTTAATTTCGGTTAAATCACGACAATTTGCTAATTGTTTAATGTTATTGTTGTTGTGGAAAGTATCTCATGTGAAAAGAAGGCAAATTTTTTTACCGAATTTTCTGAAAAAATGATTCGAGTTCCCTGAACTTCTTCTCGTATGTTTTGAACATTTCATGAAGTCTAATGGATAAATAATAATAACCTTTTTGTTTTGTTGTTCTTTTTGAAATATTCATTATCTATTACGAATTTGTCTCGCTATTTTTAGCATTATTTTATTATTTAGCTCATGATTATGAAGAAAAAGGATTTTTATTTCCATGAAGCTTATCGTTATCATCATTGAGAATCATCATGTAAAAGTAAACTGAACACACAAATTTGATTCTGGTAAAAGTTATGATGGATGAAGTTAAAATTGTTGAGCTCACAATGGTAACGAAAAGATAAGCTGAATAATCATCATCATTATCATGATAATCTGAATAATCTAAAGGAGAAATTTTGAATTCTGAAACCTTCAGTGGTAAAAGGAAGTAAGAAAACAATTTCTATGTAAATCTCAATTCTTTTTACCTGAGAACTTTTTTCTTCCTTCAAACTTTGTACTCGATAGTTTGTCTATTGATGTGTATCAGAAATTTTCACCAACCTGATCTTTGAATTCTAAATGGATTCAAATTAGTGGAAATTCACCCATTCTGTTAACGGTTGATGGTTATTAGTTTTCAATCACAGGGAATATAATGAAAATCGAATAACCAATTTGTTGTTGATTGTTTTCCCAATTAATTTGTATCGACAAATATTTTTCGTTTTCATTTAGGTTTATTTCACCGAGCGATTATGCAAAGCGGATCAGCTTTATGCCCTTGGGCACTTGCCTTTAATGCGATAAAATATGGCCGTGAATATGCTCAAGCGATCGGATGTTATTCTGAGGAATCGAAAAGTTCAAATATTGTTGATTGCCTTCGACATAAAACAATCGCCGAATTACTTTCCGTCCAAATAGCGACACCTCGATTTCTAACAGGCTTTGGTCCAATGGTTGATGGGATTATCGTAGCCTCTGACCCTTTGACCATGATGAATGACCCAACCTCAACCTTTTCCTCATATAATTTGATAATTGGTGTCACTCGCCTTGAATCGTATAACTTGTTCAGTTCAATTGACTTCGATGAGGGACTAAATGAGTCTCGACGTGATAAAATTATCCGAACCTTAGTCCGTAATATTTACACTTATCATCTTCAGGTAATAACAATATTAACACCGATTAAGTAATTAACTTTTAATGAAACATTTTCTTTTTCAAAATTTTACTTTTCCAGGAAATTTATCTAACAATCAGCAATGAATACACTGAATGGTCACAATCAAATCCCAACAATCAATTGACTCTTGAATCATTGACTGAACTATTAAGTGATGCCCTGTTCGTAGGTCCAGTGGTCAAGACTGCCCTTATTCATTCAAAATCAACCAAAGCAACCAAATTATATTATTTTAGTCATACCTCTAATCTCATGTTAACAAATCATTCCCGCCTTGTCTCTGTCCATGGTCAAGATTTACCTTACGCTTTGGGAACTTATTTACTTCCAGAATATCATCCAGTTAATAATCATTCACGAATTGATTTGATACTCTCTGAGATTATGATGAAATATTGGTCAAATTTCATTAGAGATGGGTGAGTTTCCAATAACATGTAGCTCATAATTGAAAAACATCACAAAATTTCATCGAAATATATTCATGATGAATTTTCAGCCTCTTCCGTGAATTTTTTGTTCACCAAACAATCTGAATTAACATCTAAATACAATTACTTACCATTTTGATTAGGGCACTTTACACTTATGGATAATGTTAATATCATCAACAAGACAACAATCAACAACAACAACATCATCAATCATCAAAATGAACAAACAATATTTTCACATTAGAACTTTTTTCCCTTCTCTTCAGCTGCTCTCACCCACACTTTGTTAATCATGATTATCACCCACCACCAGTGATCATCAATAACACACATACACGCCAACAAATTGTGCCACAATTTAAATTGTTGATAAAAGGATATTTAAAAAATACATTGAAAACTGAAAGTTGTGAAAATGTTTTCTCATCATTAACAATATATTATAAATACATTTAATCACTGACCATTGTCATTAGATAATAATAACTGACAATTGCAATTGACAATTTAAAATGTTGATTATTGTGAATGAATTGTAATAAAATGATATCTAAGTGATAAATGGTCCAGATAAGAAGTGAAAGAAAAAACTTTAAAGTTCTAAAAAGTTTTCGAAAAGGGAAAAAAGTTCTAATGTCTTTAGATGTTGACATTTCGTACAAATAAACAGTTGTTGTTGATTAAATAACCATTTGAATTGTGAGTCTCATGATTGTTGATTTAACTTTGATGGACAAATGATTTAAATTGTCAAGATTTTCATTGTTGATGATATTTTCATCATAACAATCAAAAGCTTTTTTCTTTGGATAATTCAATTGTTATATTAATTTGTTATTTTTATTTATCTTTCTTTTTGCAAACATTTTATCAAAACAAACTTTAAATGACCAATACGTTGCCTGACGATGACCAAATTGAAATTCCCTAGTGATCCAAATGGTAAAACTAACACAACATCAACATTAATCTCAAATGGTCAAGAATCAAGGTCCGAATCAAATCACCATTGGCCTTCATATGATTACCTTCAACAACAATATCTAGTGTTAAGTAAGTTGAGTTGACTTGATGTCTAGTTTTGTGTTTAATATCTTGACCATTCAAAACTTTATGTGGGTCATTATTGTTATCATTTGATTAGCCAATTACTATTCTTGATTGGACATTTTAAACAATATTATTGTCGAGGGCGAAGATTGTTTTAAATGTTTTTTTATTTCTTTTTGTTTGAGTTCTAATATTTTTATGCTCTGGTCATTTTTTTTATTATCCCACTGGTCATTTCAATAGATACCAAGCTCAAGTTGAAGGATCATTATCATGCCCATCGTCTTTCATATTGGCTTAATTTGATTCCTAAACTTCACTCACCAGGAAGTTCAGCTTTCGGTGATCACCATTTTCTAGAGGATCATGATAATCTGGTCACTTATGATGGTCATGTCCGAAGTTCTGTGTTAGTGGCAAACTCTGGACTTGATCGGGTTCCTGAATTACCTGCTAATCGGACAGAGCTTATGATTTATGGTAAAACGGAAAGTTCATTGAAACATCGGGTTAGCCTGAGTGGAGGTGGTTATATGAATGAAAGCCAATCAGATATGATCAGTTCAACTGGTCATTCAGGGTCAGTTAAAGGTGCCTTAAATAAACAATCTGGTGATTCAAGTAACGGTACTTTCTCAATGATTATCCAAGATAATCCATACTCAAAGGCGTTAAGTGTCACGATTGCTGTTGGCTGTTCCCTCCTTATCCTTAATATATTGGTCTTTGCTGGAGTTTTTCTTCATCGAGATCGAACCTATCGAAGTGGTCAAAATCCTAGATGGGTGGTCAGTATATTCAAGAATCATTTGTTTGATCTAAAAAGAAAAAAAAAATTTTGTCTGATTTTTTCTCTCTCTCTCCACAGAATCGTTCAAATTGTCCTTCCGATACTCGGCCCATTCATTATAAGCAAACAAGTCGAGTTAAATTTACCAAAGTGAATGATGACCAAGGTCCAAACTGTATTCAATATTGTCATCATACTATTGGTCAACCAACAGCTGATAATTTAATTACCTCAAATACCTGCACTGGTTATGATAATCATTCCCATCCAACTCAGTATCAAACATCACCTTCACCAAATACACCACCTGATAATTGCACTGGACATTTAGCTAATCATCACTGTCCAGATCATGGTACTAGTACTGATCAATGTAACTGTCCACTGGTCAATTTAGCTTATTATGTTTGTGATTGTGCTGAAGCTCAACATCAATTAGCCACAACTGGTCAACAGCAACATATTTGTAAACCAATTGAAATCAGACAACATGAAGAGGACAAACAATTAACTATCAACAACAACAATGGTATTAATTGTGATCAATTTGAGACAACTCAACAATTAATAGAAAATTAAATTAACTAACTAATCTAAATAATACATTTTTGTACATAAAATCACAATGAGCTATTAATTAATCAGATTTAATTGATGTAAAATATTGTTTATTTTGTTACTCACTTTTTTTGCTAATCACAATCAAATTAAAACTTTACTGATTTTAACTAATGATTAATTTGATGGATTAAAGATTTGATATAAACAATTAACCTTTCTCATTGAAGCTCTTTATGATTTAAGTAATTAAATCATTAAATTAACTCAATAATCAACATAGTGGTAATAAGTTAAGTTTATATTGTCAGAAAAATTGAAAGTAAGTTAATTGTTACAATTTAAGAATTGTACTTTTTTATATACAGATGAGAGGCAATGGTTCCAATGGCAAAAGCGGAGATGAAAAAGAAAGCGCCTAAGGCCATTGCCATTCCTAGTCCACCCTCGATTTCGTCGTCAAAGTGGCCAGAATTTACTCTCCATTGAGATTTTCTATTTATATAAATTGAGCACAAAGGTGAAGATGAAACGGAAGTAGATTCAAGTTGTTTATCATTTGAACTCTTCGGGATGTAATCGGTCAGTTTACAGGTTGAAGTGAATAAGGAATCACCTGATTCACAGTATTCAAAGGTAAAACATTGGTCACTAAGGTCATTACATTGGAAGGCACATCGCTCAAGAGAAATATCTTTATCTGATCCTAGAATATGAGTATTAGAACTTAACTTGCGTCCGATTATATGTTGATAGTCTTTAGACAATTTTCCTAATTTCGGAGAGAAAAATAAGTTGATTCGTTAATAATTTGAATCAGAATTTTTGCTAAATCAGTTAATTGTTCACTCACGGGAGTAATGATCACATTCCGCTTTAGTAATGTCCCAAACGTTACCATCCAGTTCGTGAGACTGGTCATTGGCTACATGGAGATTGTGAAGGAAACAAGCCGATTCCGATCTGGTAAAAAAGGATTGGTCATAAGTGGTCAGTTTCCAAGTAATAAATTTTAAACCTCTTTCAACTTACTTTTTATCTTGACTGTTTTCAATACTTGGACAAAAATCAAATGATTGACAATCAAATCCAATTGATTGTGAACATCGTCTACTACACTCTTCTGGTTGGACATTTGCAATAGTGGCCATTGCATCTCGAACTAGACTTCGACCCGGAAGTTTATGATAAAAGGACAAAAATGATTCTAAATGTTGATAAAGAAAACAATTTCTCTTTAGTGGTCAAGGTAATAATCAATTAGAAGCTGATTGTTTATGGACTCACTTGATAAAATGTCACAACCATCAACATAAGATGATATCTCTGTGGATTCTGCTTTGACCTGGTCAATTGTTTTATTCATGATGACACATTCACTGTTTGGTGCTGGACAATAAGATAAAGTGTAACAATCGTCATCATTGTTACAAAGGGAGAGACAAGATTGATAATTAAGTCCAACTACTCGAGATCCACCGGTGAATCGTTGATTTGCAATTAGAACTTGAAAATCATCGCCCATTGATGAGCGATCCATCAACTGGTTCATAGGAATCTCTTCATCTACTCCACCGATTTCATCTGGACCATTGATAATGAAAAGGTCACCAGCCGATAGTCGAAGGCTGGTCAATACAAGTTCACCATTTTCCAATTTATTTCTCAATTGGTGTAAAATATTTTTACTCGATTTTAGTAAATTAATTTCAACCTGACTTTTTGCTGAAAGATCGGAACTGGACATTGAAGCGTAAACTGTACAATCATCGCGATGTTCAGTTGAGTAAATTTCACTTGTACTAGTGAACAGATAACACTGCATATTACCACAATGAGCGAAAGCTGAACAACTTTCAACATCGAGACAAAGTTCTGAACAGTCTTCCATGTACTCTCGAACCACCAGTCGAGTTGGATTGGCGATAACAGTGTTTGGAAGTGAAAGGAAATTGAAAGTTTCCGCTTGGAGTAATTTACAAGTGACATAAATATTGGGACCAAATATAGTGACCCGAATCTCGGGAAGTCGAAGTAGCGGAATCAAAGGTTCGATAAGCACTGAGAAAGAGTGAAAAATGATTGAATCACTGTCCTGGTACTGAGCAATGTCAAACGTCGTATCGGGAAATACCAATTGAAACCAAGTATATTGACCGGATTTATCGTAACAACCGGAAACGTCAAAAGCATCAGCATAATCGACCGGGTCAATCAAAGAGTAACCATTATCATCTCCCGTCTTGTAATCAACGTAGGTTATTTCAATTCGAGACGGAACTGAGGCCATTAGTATTTCGTCCTCTACTGATGATGAAAAGGGTTTAATGACCACATGATGAGGAATCTCGAGTTTATCGTGTGTCACAGCCTCGGGGAAATAAAATTGTACCAAACAATTGACTCGTTCGTTGGCACTATTTACGTAAAATGAGTCGACGATTTTTTCGAAAACATGTAATTTCCCAAAATCTGTTCTAACGGCACCGAGGAAGTTTGTTCCATCGAGGGTAAACAACGAAGGTGACAATAGGTTATATTTAATAAGATCGTTTTCTAAAAGTGGCCATTGAGTTGTGATCGTTTTAGAAGTTAACGAGAAAAAGGAGTTCTCATGTTCGATTGTACAAGTTCCAGTTCGAGGATTGACCTTAAAGTACTGAAGTAATGAGGGCGTTTTAATTATTCTAACGGTATTTGAGTTTCCCTGTGATATTGTATAAGAGTAAACATTTTGATGTTTAATTAACTTAATTGTGGATAAAGTTAATCGATCAGGTTGATTATATGAGATTGCTGCTTCCATACCGATAAGGTACGAAGGGGTCGTTGTCCAGGTTGGATTATTGTACTTATAGTCCCGTCTACACCCATGACCCATGGGAAAGGTCAAGACATATTCGGCCATAGGTAAAATTGGATCATACGTTAAAAAGTTGACCAAAGTTTTAGTCTTGGTCGTAGTTGACTGGCCAGAGATGACCAATCGATAAGGTAAATTACTATTAGCTAGAAAATAAGTATCAATAACCAGATCAGAATCACTTGGAGAGAGACACATTGACCATTGGTCAACATTGAAACCATCAAGTATCACTCGCCCTTTATAATAACCAAAAGTCGAGGAAAGTTTTGAGGCCATAATCATGAGTACAGTTGGACCAAGGTACTCGATCTTTTCGTCGTCGATACCTAAAAGATTTTTCCAATGTCCAGAATTGGCAGAATTATAAATCTGCCTCATCTCGGGTGTCATCCATTCAAAGATGATTGACCTTTGGTCATCGATGGTCAGTTTAGAGGTGGTACAAGGGGTTTTGTCCTTGTTAATGATGAAACTTTCAGATGAAGCGAAATAATAATGAGCTGATTTAATTGTTGTTAATCCTTCACCTGAATTGAGCCATTCAATTGAACCAACTTTGTTAACTGTATCATAAGAATCTTTAAATTGATTAGTTAATTGTTTAATTGATGTTGGTGATGATTCAACAATCTCAATTATCCCAGAATAACCTTTCTGATCTTTGACCAGTGATAAAATATCGGGTGGTGATTGACCTTGCACTCCAGTTAGTTTACATAAATCAGCTGAATGGACACCAGAATTATAAATGGTTAACAAAATGGTCACAATTAACTTGATCATGATTGTTAATCAATCACTTTTTTTTAAACTGTAAAAGAAACTGGTTAACAAAACTTGTATTTGATTGTTAATGATTGGGAAGCAAATTAATTTTCACTTTACCATTTTAATTATCACAAATTAATTTACTATCTAATCATCAGAGTAATTGGTTAACGGTAGCAATTTACTGTAAGGTGATTAATTGATTAAAATGAAAACTTAAATTGTGATACAACTTTTCAAATCCACTGTTAATTTAATCAGAGCAATATTATTGGTAATTATTATTAATGTTAATCATTGATTACACATAACAATGTTGATCAATCTGATTGATTTAATTAAATATCGTTGATATAATCAATATCATGTTAAGTGGTTGGTTAAGTTAATTTGTAAAACAATAGTAACAATTAACTGATTGTTGTTATCATTTGACTAACATATAAAAGATGATCAATCATAACAATTATTAATCAATCACTCCCATTGATGATAATTTTATGGTTTATTTTAAGTTTGTAATGATTAAGAGTTGATTGTTTTCTAGAATTGATTAAATTGTAAAGGTGATATTTACGTTTAATTGTTTCTAATCCAGTAGTAATTAATGGAACTCACTTGATTCCCAAGTTGTTTTATCACAATAAGATTGTGATTCACTAATTTGATACAATCAAATACATTAGGGCGTTTGAATGATCAACAATTTACTTCGTTCGGTAATTAAATAGCCATTTATTGTCAACAATTAAAAGTTTAATTTCCTTTGTAATAAACAATAGTTTCTGATAATTTTAATAACTTTTGAAAATTTTTTACTCTAATTGAGGTTCGAGTCTCAGAAACAATCGGCAAGATCACAATTAGTTGGAATTGAGATCAACTTCGAGAAAGTTATTCTATTCGTGATAATATCATTTCGGTAATAACATTTGTTCAATTGATTTAGTTACCAATTTATCCTAATCATCACAATTGGCTCCATCTACTGTTGTTGATTAAATTGAATTTCTAATGATCATCAATCAATTGGGTTCCAAAATCCTCGAAACATTTGTAATGAAAAGCAAGAAGATGCTGATATTTTCAATGACGAACTGTGAATGAAAAAGTTACTTAATTAGATACAATTAACAATTATGAGGTTTAATTACCAATACGAAATGATGATTATCCATGATAAATAATCGTCCAACGTAAAAACCAATTTTGTTAACTGAAAGTCGCTCGATTGTAGCAATAAACTAATACGAGAATACGTTGAAAAGATTAACAATTAGTAACACCATTATGATAACAATTAGTTAATAGCAAATTGATTTACCTTAATTTGAGTCTCAATTGTTTTACAATGTCCATTTCTGATCAGCCAATAGTTTAGATATTGACACATTTTCACCTTTGAAAGGGATTGAAACAGTTTAGCATTTTAATTGTTAATTGTTGGCTATAATTTACCTTCTTAGCAGTTTCGGCTGCGATAATATTCAATATGATTAACGATAATAAGGCAAAAGATGCCAAAGTAATTGTGATTACATTGAATACCAAGGTATCGGTTTTAATGAAAATGCCACAGAAGAAAGCATAATCAGCCATTATGGATCCAACAATGTATCCGGTTGCAGTAATTAAGCTTAACTGTCTCTCCATGATTGAGAGTTGATTGTAATTGTAATTTTGACGATATAAATACTGATAACAAACGGAATCAGATAAATTTGTCGATAATCTTATTGAGGATAAATTGTTAATTACATGTGAATATGTAAAGTCAATTGAAAAAGTTGTATGAAAAATCATCAAGATAATATGAGTTAGTGACCAGAAAACATTATGAACCAAGTAAAACATTGGTATTATTATTAATGGTAACCAGATTAGACCGCAAATGATTAGTAAATTGTAGTCAACTGATGATGTTGTCTGTTCAGAATTGGCATCAAATAGTAATAAGTTAATTGCTAAATATACAAATTGTCCAGAACAAACTGTAGTTGAAGCATAGAAATAAAATTGGCACATGAAGTAAAAATTTTTCCTAAATTTGTGGCAATTAATTGTTCCCATTGATGGTTCAAGTTTAAATTTCAACTCACGAATTTGATTAAACAACCGTAGTGAAGTTAAATTGTTTGTCCACTCAAGATGATCCAAACTGAAGTGGACAATTAAACACATCAACACAACCAGTCCCATAAGACAATTAAAAGCCCATCCATTGGTTACACTAATCATCGGGTCTCCTAAAAGTGTTTGGTATAATAAATTGGCCTTAGCATCAAAGATGGCGAGCAGGAAGAATCGTAGAGCGATCAAAACTGACCACAAGTTGAATAAACGTCCAATGAATATCAGCTTCTGATCGAATGGTCCTAATTGTGAGTAACCACGAAAACAAGCTAACCAAAAGTAACCCGAAGCTTCAAGTTGGTTCATCTTTACCAAAAGCCTATTCTCCGACCACAGGTCATTGAAAAACCTTGACCAGTATCGATAAATGTTAGTGACAAGGTACATTTTACTGTGGATGATGATAGTAATTAGATTTCTCTTCATCGACGAAACATTTTCGTTCACTATTAACTAATGATTTTGATTAGAAAACTGATCAATGTATTTTCTTATAAACTAAGACTCGAATTGATTGGATTAAATGTCGTCTTTCAATAGTTGAACATAATTATTGACTGTCGATTGTCACGAGAGTCAAGTTCGTACCATAATTTAGTACAGTTGAACATTCAAAGTTTATACAATTTCAACTTCCTTTAATTCATTGATGATTCGTGACACAAGATCTTTATATTCAAATTCATTTATCAGATATCCAATTATTAGGATAAAGTTACTTGTTAGAAAGAACAATTAATCACAGGAAATCGTAGATGGCATTTGAAGTTTATTAGATTATTCGAATCACCTATCAATGTGGATGATAAATAATTAGTAAATATAATTGTATTTCCTCTGGAAATATCCAGAAATTTTGTGAATAATATTTGCTTAGAAGATTTTTCTTTTAGATCAATTTTATTATTGTCGATATCGATCTTGGTTCGAAGGTCATTGTAAAAGGTTTTTCGGTCATTCCTTGGATAGAAACCTTGACTGCCGTTTCTCTTTTATTTAGAAGTGTGAAAATTATTTCATTTTGAGGTGAAATGAACGAGGTCATTTTAATTTTATCTTCTAACCCGTTGAGTATTTCGTGAGAGACATGAGTTGATCCTGGTACTAAGAATCGGGAAAAATGTCCAAACACATAGTAAAGAGGCTGCTTGTAGTATTCAGGTGATGTGTTATTCACTATCACCAGAGCATCGATGGTGTTGTTTACCCAATTAGGTCCACCCTGTTCATCTAGTGCAAGATTCCAGTCCACCCAACCCGTTGACCAACGATTAAGTCCTTCAATAATGTCAGTTGCATAATTTTCAGCTCGAGTCCAGTTACCAAGTGCAACTAATTGAATGGAAACAATTGTAATTTGATTATTATAAGAGACTAAAATTCAGATCACTTGAAAATACCTCGAATTGGTTGGTAAACACCTTCCGAACCTTCAGTAGATAGTAACCATTTACTTGGCCAATTCTCGTGGATTTCGTCAAGAAGTTCATAGAATCGCTTTGAATACCAGTGATAAGCAACACCGGAAACATATTTCGCAGCTTCAGGGTCATTTAGAATTGTCCTGACAAATGGAAATATGTCCAGCAATTGGTCGTCCCAGATCATTAGGTTAACCTTGTCTTTGCCGAAACCAGAAGCTTCTAATGCTGGACCTAAATCTTTCTTGATCCAATCTCTCATCATGGCTCCTGAAAATCCACAGGTACCTAAGACCCAATTGGGAGTAAGACCGGTAGCTGGTTCGTTCTGTGGACTAATAGCCCAGAAGTTTATTCCGTTTGATTGGTAACTTTCAAAATCTAGTAAATTGAAAAATTAAACAGTTAAATTTCAACTCCATTCAGTTTGCACCACATCAATTAACTTACTTTACCAGGTAATTAGCATAAGTTTGCCAATATTTACTTCCAGGTTCACCTTTTAGGATGCCAAGGCCTCGAAACTCACCGCTAGTTTTAAGCCATTTGGGTGGTGCCCAAGGGGCTGCGAGCAATTTCAATTCTGAGGTGACATTGCGAGCTCTCTTAATCAAGGGTATCTATCAAGAAAAAAACGATAATAAAAAGAGAGTTTATAATAATCAGCTGATTACCTTGTAATCATAATCGTCGTGGTCAATTTGAAATTTTTCAGTTCAAAATCATCTACAACATCATTATAAGTGTAAGCACGATCAGAAAAGTCCGAGGCAGCAATTGGCACCCGACCGAATTTATATCCAATCCCATTGACTGGATCAAAATAGTCACTTATCAGTTTATCACTCAACTGATCAGGCAATTGATTGATATTGATTCCCGCTGAATCGGTAAATGCCCCGCCGAAACCAAATATTGATTGTCTTTTGTCAGTAGTGTTAATTACTACCGTAATATCAGCTAATTTATCATCGCCGTAAACTAGATCGTCAACTTTTATTAAACTTTTTGCAAAGCGATGAGCAAATTTATCAGACTTGAAAATGGTCAAGTGGTCAACTAATGAATTGGGAGCAGTTTTAATTGAATCACAATTAACTTGATTACAGACACAAACAAATGATTCACTATTAGGATAAGTTCTAATCACACAAGTTAAGGTAAAATTGATGGTTGTTAATAGAACAATAATTAATTGTATCATTTGTAGCATCGTGTTTGATTGTTTTGGCTTCATGATGGTTTGACAATCAACAGAAAACTCCGTAATTTATATTCCAAGTGTGAAACGAGTAAAAGCAATACGCTTAATTGTTGGCATTACACCAATCAAATAACCAGCGAAAACAAACCTTCCAATGATAAGAAACTAAATATTAGCTATTAACGATTGATAATTTATGGACATTGGAATCACAAGATGATAGATTTGAGTAATCAGAATTGCTAGATTTCAACAGTGACAACAATTAAACCAAATAAGTAATTATCAACATGATAAGCTGAACGTCAACAATAATAAAGTATAAATATTTTACAAATTATAAAATAAAATCATTGATCAAATTAACATAAATCAAAATGTATGACAATCTGATTGATGAATTACTCAACTTTAATTCAGTAAACAGAATAGTCCAATTAAAATTTACTCATATTTAACTAATCAACTAACTTATCAACTAAATCAACTTTCGAGAGTAATAACAACGATAAATTAATTGCCTTATTGAAAAATTAAAGATCAGTCGCTGTTGAGACGATTCGCAATCAGCGATTCTGGTTAATAACCAGTGATTATATTCAGAGATAGAAATTAAAGTTTCCTCCAGTTTTGCTTGGTTATCTCTCTGAACTTATTTCTGACCTTGAAATGATCTTGATATTGGTAAAAATAATATAACTATTGAATACCGTCCGAATAAGTTAGTGCAGAAAAAACTTTTTATAAGCTTGGTGAAATGCTCTGAAGTGCTGAAATTAATAAATTATTCACATATACTTTTCCAAGTTAAGTTTTATTATTAATATATTTAATCATAATCTTGACATTGATGCTCTTCAAAGATGGAGAGTTTAATTCGTTGGGTTGATTAGAGTTGTTATTGATCTTGGTTCAACAATTAAAGTGAATCTTTTATCAGCTACGCCTTCAATTGACAATTTAATTGCTGATTCTTGACGATTTAGAATGGTTAAAATTAATTCATTTGATGGGCTAATAAAAGTGGTCATTTTGATCTTGTTTGAATCAACATCTGATTTAATTGTCATCTTATGGGCGACATTAACTGATCCTGGTCGTATGAATTTACTGAAATGCCCAAAGGCATAAAACATTGGCTGTTTGTAGTATTCATTGGAAGTTGCGTTTACAATGATCAGAGCGTCGACAAAATTATTGGCCCAATTTGGTCCACCCTGTTCATCTAATGCAAGGTTCCAGTCAACCCAACCTGTTGACCATCTATTCAGTCCTTCAATTATATCATCGGCAATGTTTTCAGCTCGAGTCCAGTTACCATAAGAAACTAATACAAGTAAATATTTTCAATTTTAGGTGTTAATTGTAAATTAGTTGGTGACAGATTTTCTCGGTCACTTACCGTGTTCTTGGTCAAAAATAAAACCTTCACATGCTTCGGTGGACAATAGAAAATATTCTGGATAAAGTTCGTGAACTTCGTTCAAGCTGCTGTGATAAGAAGATCGTGCGTACCAATGATAAGCGATACCAGACACATATTTAGCTGCCTCTTTATCTGATAGAATTGGCCTGATAAATGGTAAAATTGAACTTAAATTGTCGTCATAGATCATTAATTTCAGTTTGTCTTTGGTAAAACCCGCGGCGGTCAAGGCTGGGCCAAGGTCTTTTTTGATCCAGTCTCTCATCATTGATCCAGAAAATCCAAGCGAGTTCCACCTCCAGCCTGGAATAAGGCCAACATTAGGTTCGTTTTCAGGAGTGAGACCCCAAAATTCAATTCCATTATCACGATAAGCTTTTAAAAATCTTACGAGGAAAATAACCAGTAAAATTAAAGGTTCGAATACTTTTGAACTCTTGTCTCTCAACTTACTTGACGATATAATAGGCCCAAGTTTTCCAGCCCAACGAACCAGGTTCTCCCTGTAATATACCGAGCCCTTCAAACTTTTTACTAGTCTTTAACCAAGCGGGTGAAGACCAAGGTGAGCCAAAGAGTTTCAACTCAGGACTGAGACTCAATGCTTTCTTAATCAATGGAATCTGCGAGAGACATAATGAACAATTAGACTAATAAAATCACCAGAATAATTTTCTCTTACCTTATAACTAGAGTCATCTGGTGCTAATGCAAAATTTTTCAGGACATAATCACCTCGGTATCATCATAGGAGTAGGGGCGATCTGAGAAATCAGATCCACCGATAGGAACTCGAGAAACTGTATAATGTAATCCAGTTTCACCATAATAATCAGTCATCAATTTATCAGCCAAATCAGGTGATAATTTATTAATATTGATTCCCGACGAATCGGTAAATGAACCACCGAAGCCTGTGATTGATTGTCGTCGATTTGAAGTATTGACCTTAACCTCAACATCAACCAGTTCATTTGAATTATAAGCTAAATCATCAATGTGAATTAGACTTTTAGTTAAACGATGCGATGATTTGTCTGTTAAATATATTGTTAAGTGTTTATCTAATGAGTGTGGTAAGCGATTAGCTGAATCACAATTAACTTGATCACAAACACAAACAAATGATTCACTGTTTTTGAAATGTTTTACTTGACACCCCAAGGCAATTGTTGTCGAAACAATTAACGTTACAAATATCGTCTCCAAGTTGATTGCCATGATTAGTTACTAATAGTCGATTGAATCGTTGAAACGATTAAATATAATTGTGATGGAATCAGTTTAACTCATTTAAATATAATTTGTAGCAAGTGAGTATCTTTATTCAATCTGAACTATCAAAAAGTGATTACCAGGTAATCAGACTCTCGATTAATAGCTTACTCTCATAAAATTGTCGTTGGTATAGTCGCGATGACAACGAGCTATTTTCTGAGCAACAATTAGCTAATTGTAATGCAAATTGGGCGTTTTAGTCTCAACATCTCCACTTTTGAAGGCTTTACTACCTGGGATTTAATCCGATTGCATCCGATTTAATAGATTGATAATCGTCAAGGAATCGCGATTAATAAGGATAAACAGTTGACACAAACATTAAAGTTTTTCTGTTGAGAAACAGCGCCTTTTATTCAGGTCATTTTATCGTAGTGACTGCAACGGACAAAATATATTCGGACTGAAATTTAAGCCGAGAAAATTTCTTTAAGTTAATGTGTTAAACAAATTGAAATTAATAAATTCAATGAATTTCATTCATTAACTGACTGATTTTAATAATTAATAATTTATCTTTTATACTTAATATTTGTAATCAATATCAACCTTTCAAGATTTAAGGTTGTAATTAAATCTAAGCATCATGATTAGTTAACATCTTATTATTAAATTAACCATTATGGTTAATAAATGTCATGTAACTTAATGGATAAAATATCGGAAATTGTGTCCTAATGTTTGAGTGACTGTAGCTCGAGGCTTATTTTGATCGGAAATAAAAAGGGCACCATGGCTGTGGAAATGTTTATACGATTGATTGTTGGCATTACACCAATCTGATTATGGACGAGAACATACCTTTCAATGATACAATTAACTGAAAATAACAACAAATTGTAACAAATTATTAATCTATGGACATTGGAACCAAATCAAGATGATAGAACCGATTAATTAGAATCTCTAGATTCTAATTGTGACAATAATTAAACCTAAATAATTACTATACATACATGTATAAGTTAGTTAATAATATTAGCTCATCTTTTACCAGAATCAAAGTGCAAATATTTTCCAAGTTTTGTAAAACTAAACCTAATTTTATTTTATTGATTTGAACATCATGATATTCAAAATAAATTGGGTAATAATGAGCAGTTCAATGTGATCAACGATTAGTTTTGAAATTGAATATCGAAAAAAACTTTTGACAGTTTGATTGTTTCGACTGGTTAGTCAATTGTGGTAAAAAAATCAATAGAAAGCACGTCTTAAATTACAATCAGAAATGTGAAATTAATTCAGTTAATTGTTGACGATACATTAATCAGATAATAGGAGAAAATTTCCCCTGAAATGATAATTAATCGGCTAATATTATCTCATTGATTATCTCTGGACATTGGAATCACAACAATCAGAAAACACTGGATTCAATATTACATAAAACGCGAATTCTCCCATCAATCATCAATAATGATTAACTTTTTTATTCTTAATTACTTGAAACAATTAATGAGGTAACTTGAATTTTTTAACACTCAGCTTTTCAATGTTTTGATGGACAATCAGCTGATTAACTTAACCATCATTACATCATTTGACATAAACCAAGAATTTGCAGATAAAAATGATTAACAGTGAATCTCAAAATTAATTATCAACAATTTATTCTGTATTGTAATCTAAATTTAATAACAATCAAAAGTTTAACAATAGATTAAATCATTTTATTATCATTATTTTTGTTGTTTTACTTTTATTTCAATTATTATTGATAAAAAACGTAACCAAAAGTTAATTATTAATATGATAACCGTTAACAATTAATATTATTTGGCACGATTTAATTCAATTCAAGAATTAGTATTAATCAATTTAGCTCACGGTATTTTATCAGCTTAATATTATTGTTCACATTAGTTAATTGTTGATTTAATTTATACATTGTATCATCAACTTAATTAAAGACTTGGGGAAACAAACAAAATAATAGTGAATATAATTTGCAATTACGTAAACAATTAACAATTTAACCAGAACCAGAGGAACATTTTGATTAGTAAAATCAAAATTATAAGATCAACTTAATTATCTTAACTTTCAATTTCGTATTTTTTTATTTAATTAGGAATTTGATTTGTTACCAAAAAGACTTTAAAAAATTATTCATGTACTTTGTGATCAGGTTTTCCCAATATTTCAATAGTTATTTGATTAAATGTCCACACTTTTAATTTTCCTTAGAATCTGGTTTTTTGTTTAATCAACTGGTCAGATCAATTGGTCAATCTATTATTATTTGTGTTGATTTTCTTGCTACTATTTGCTATTGATTCCAGAATCTCTTCACGTAAGGTTGATGGACTGGTTAAAATATTAGTTGATGTGCTAAGGTGACGAAGTGAATTAAGAACCTCTGTAAATTAAATACAAAAAGAAATTTGGTAAATATTGTTGATTGTTAACAATTAGAAGATTATTATTACCTCGACGTAAGGTTACTAATGAACAATTTTGATCTAACCACCTGAGAATCGATCGGCACATATCGTCAACATCACTTGTCGTTACTGTGGTCATATAACTTTCCAAAAGTGATTCCATAACTAAACCAAACTAAAATCACAAGAAGAAAAATATTAACAATTAATTGATTGGTTAAATTCAATTTAATTGTGATGACAGTTTCTTACAATCCAGAATTTCCAATTGGTCATTGTTCGTTCTTTAACATATCCATCAAATTGTTCCTTAACTTGACCAACTCGTTGACATGAAATCGGGGCTCCTGTAGCAGGTAATTGACTTTGGAAAACTCTGAATGAAAAATTAATACACGAAAATTAGTAAATTGAAACAATTGAACGAAAAACTGAAGGAAATATTTCAATTCTCACCCGATTGTTTGATTCAAATTCTCAATTTGTTGCCTCAAGTTTTCGCACTCTTCTTGTCTCTGTTGTCGCTCCGATTTCATCGTTCTTATATATTCAGCTGCTTTATGTAACATCGCTGCTTTGCTGATCTTAGTGTTGGCATTTTGATTAATTGCAGGTAATAAAGTTCTAAGAGTATCAAAACCATTTTTAATATTACACCGTCTTTTTTGCTCAGCATTGATGTGACAAACTCGACGATGCTCTTTGTACTTAAGTTTATCGGTATCCGATTTAAGTTTAACTATTTTGATTGATGAAAGGGAATTGGATACGGATGATGGTGAACCGACGGTTACAATTGATTGGGGTGAGGCCAAGGGAGTACTTGAATTGGAATCTTTTGAACTTGGAGAATAGGCCAATAAGGGTGGAGGTGAAATGGTTGGTGATGATATTTTACGAACTCTCTCTTTAAGACTTGCAACGGCACTTAGAGCATGTAATCCTCGAGGTGGTTCAGGGTCACTTAGACGGCCACTAATTCGACCTCGATGTGGACGAGTTGGTCCTATCCCATCGTTAGAATTGGAAGACATTAGATTACTTGAAAGTAATGATTGTCTGGCACTTGAATAGTTGAGCATATTTCCATGAAGGGATGGATGTGATGAATATAATCCAAGGGGTTGATGGGATTGTATTTGTTGATGCTGATGGTGTTGATTAATTCCACTGGTATTGTCATAATCATTGGCACTTTTTATTGCTACCATTGGATTATTCATATTAGAAGGTGATCCTGAATTCGATAATAGTTGAGCAATTAAACTATTTGAATCAGAAGTAAAATCTGTAGATGATCCACCGGATGTTGTTTGGACAATGGATTGAGGTTGGGATTGAGGTGGATGAGCAAGTGAATGAGTGGAAATGTTTCCTGACGGATTGATATTCATCGAAGACTCTGAGGAATATTGTCCAGTTGGTACTATTGAATGAGAGGTGGATAAATCAGGTGAAGGAGTTCCTGGTGGAATTTGAACATTATTATTATTAAACGAATTTGGTACAAAAGTATGATTTCCACCACCACCAGCCGAAGCATTGTTGGCGTTTCCTCCTCTAAGAGCTAATAGATTATTGGAAGATGAAAAGTTCATTTGACTTTGTTGCATAATTTGAGCATTTAAAAGAGGACCAATGGCGTTTCGTCTCTGAGAGTAAACTGGTAACGAAATTGATCGTTCCATGGCTCCCATAGTATTTTTGATTGATTGTTGTTGATGTGTAACATCATTTAAAATTAAAGCTGCAGATGAATTGGCAATGCTGGGTACGGATTGTTGTTGGTTTTGTTGAGGTTGTTGTTGTTGCTGCTGTTGCTGTTGTTGTTGTTGTTGAGATTGAGGTTTAAAGACCATGTGTGGAGTGGACACACTTCGAGATCTATGTCTCGATGATCGTGTTGGCATTTTAGGATAAGCAAAATGTTGCTCTTCTAACGAACCTCTGGGACTGGTCTCTGTAACATTTTCGTTACGTAAACATGGGATCGTAGTTTGATCTGATTTTACAAGTTCATTGGTATAATTAGATCCCAATGAACTAATGTCCATGATACAATCATAACTACCAAAGAGACGATTATTTTTATGAGCATCTAGTGAGTTTGTCTGTTGTGTTTGGACACCACCAGTGGCTTGTACAGGTATACCTTGGGTTGATTGAGTTGGATAGGTAATGTTAATTACCGAATTGTTTTGTACTTGAAGGTTAACAGAATCAAGCGGATTCAATGAATTCATGTCCAATGGTCCACCAGCACCACTATTAACATGGTTAATAATATCTACATTAGGAGATTGGGGCTGAGCTGATGGTGAATTTACAGGATGATGATTAGTAGATAATCCTTGTTGTTGGGGTAAACCAGCAACTTGAATAACGGTCGCTGTGTTGGTTAACGAATCAGCACCTAAATTTGTAGATATATTTGAATTTCCCTGATTTTCTGTGAAACCTTTAATCACTCCTTGATTATTAGAGCTTACATCTAACATATCTCCATAGGACATTTGCATGTAATCAGAGTTAACAACGGAAGTTGAAGCTGCTCCAAATCTCTGACAATCAAAAGAGATAAAATAACAAAAGAAAACAATTGTACAATTACAAGTTAATTAATCATAACTATTGACATGATGATTACCGATGATTGTTTATCGGTTAATTTCCAATTATCCCTGAGATTGTCAGTCGTTGATTCCTCTGGTAATGGTGGCATAATGCATACCCTGCTCAACAGGAAATCTATTGATATAAAAAGTGATTAAGACAAAAAGAAATAAATTAGTAAACAATCAGCCATTTTTTTCAGTCAAAGAAGTGGTTATAACACAAATCAATCAATCAACTAGTAATAATGAGACTAGAATACAATTCAGACATGATAAAGATGATGATAAGTATATTATAATTAATGAATTACAATTAATTAATAACATATAGTAGGTAGAATACAAAGAAGCGCTAATTGTACACAGTCGAAGGTTAATTGTTTAAGTGTATATACACAATACAAGTCTAAATGAAATCTTATTTAGTTTGTGATTACCTAATAAGACACTTGAAGAAAATACTAATTGTATCTTAAAAACTAATTAAATGAGAATCAAGTCAATATCGTTAATTGTATCCTCGCCCTCGTTTTAATTTCTTCAATTAAAACTTTACAATTTACTGGAAAGAAACACAATTCAGAATTTTAATCAATTGGATCCCCTGGTCATGATTAATGAAAACAATAGGAAATATTAAAATCACAATCATGATGATAATTTTTCTGTTCCAAGTTTTTTTTTTCAATGAAGTGATTAAAACAACAATCAACAACGAGTGTAATATGATTGTAATAATAAAAAAAAGAGGTAATCATAATTAAACAAACTAGAGAGATGAAAAAAAAGGTAAAAACATCAATGAACGATAATAATTTATCAACTGATCATCAATAAATATCATCTCTCACTCTTTAATGGTGATTAAGTTTGATCATCATTAGAATTCATTGATTTATAATGAGCAGAAAGGAAAACAAAAAGTTGATTGTGAGCCAATTAAATGTAATCAACCTTGAAAAATTAACGAATCAAATTAAATTGTTAAAATATTATCATTTTGCTTTTCTCTATGGACACAATATCATTTATCTAACAATTAAAATAATCAAGATTTCTCAATCAAATTAGAAGGCAATTAAATGTATTAATATAAAAAAAAAGCAGAACGAAGTCTTAATGAAAACAAAGCTCATCATCAGAATTAAATATGAAATATGAATTTATCATGAAATTTTAATATCTGCTGAGATAGAGTAATAATATCATCATCAAGGTTAATTTAACTTACTGGTTAACTAAATTGGTGTTTTAATCATAACTTACACACACACACAATCATCGTTATGATATTATTATGATTGTGATTAGATTTAATTGTCAATAAAAATGTTTCTAATCTTCTTTGTCAATGATGATTTCTCATCTCTTTCTCTTTCTCTCTCTCGATTATCAGTTAATTAGTCCTGTATTACACTATGATTTGTATTGTTAATTGTGGGTATTATTTTTGTACATTAACAAACTCACCTGATAAAGGCTCCATGAAATCATCAAGGCAAGGTTGTAATTGAGTGAGACCTGGTTGGATAAAATCAGCTCCCATACCTGATCGGGCTGCCAACAGGGAGGATTGGATTAACAGTTGAGTTTAGGTTACATATTTAATGTATTTCTTATGAATATTATTATTTTTTTTTCTCTGCGTTTTCTGTTATTAGGATTAGTAAATACCTATTTCCCTTGGATTAGGAAAGTCAATCACATTGGGAGGGACCAGCGAATTCAACAAATTATCGGAAAAATCCATCGTAAAATCATCGTCAACACTTAAATTGCTCAAGTCTTGATTGGAGAAAAACTCATTCCAACGGCCATCATGATAATCGGAGAAAGACTAAAAAAGAAGAGGAAAAAAGTAATTAGTCCCAAGATGATCATATGATAAATATGAGAAGAAAGAGATGATGATGATGATGATGAGAGGGGAGGAAGTAGATTCAATTTATGGAAAGGAAGATAATATTGAAGATGTTATGATGATAAGAAAAAGTCTAAAAGGCAAAAGCGAAATGAGTATCAACGATCAGTCTCCATTGTAAACATTTGATACACAGAGATAATTTTCTATGTAAAAAAAGCTTTGGTGTCTTTGGTTAAATTACTTTCTTGTTTCGACTATTTGACAACAATCAAAAGTACGAAAACTTGTAAACTAATTACTGTTAATCAGAATTTTTATCTTATTTGGACTTTGCTGATTGTTGACTTATCTAATTCCATACAGAAAAAAAAGTAAACCAATTTAAGAAGAAAAACTTTGATAACAAACTGCTGATCAGTAAGATTAAGGATTAAGAGAGAGAGAGAGTGAGTGAGAATAAATAATAAGAGATTATAATTGCTTAAGGGTTAAGAAAATACGAAATAAAAATGATTTCTAATCGAAAGTTCTGCTTTTGCAAAAAGATAAATGAAAAATTTCGCAAAAATTATACTCAAAGTGTCAGAATTTCATGAAGAAATTGTTTGATCCCTTAAACGTTACCCTCAAGTCGACACACTGAACAGGTTATCTAATTCATTGAATAACTTGAATGAATCAACTTATTTTCCCTGAAAAAAAAATAAAGCTTCCAGTTACATGATACATTAAAAACTTATTGAAAACAATAATTATTTAAATTTCAACAAGGAAAAGAAAATGTAAAAATATCTTGAATTTGTTGAGGATGATTTTCATGAAGAAAGTGTCATGTCCAAATAGACAAGAGATGAAAAATTTGAAGGGAAAAGATGATGGAAAAATGAAAATTGCCGTTCAATATGCTCACATGTCTAGTGGGTCTCGGTCTTATTATATTCTTATGATAAGCTCGCCATTTATGATATTCAGCGACCACCGTTGTATGTCGTCGTTTCCAGTATTTACCTTCAAGTATAACGGCTTCAGTCTTGGTGTGCGAATCACTTTCCACCGGAGATGAGAATTGGCAAACTCGAGGATCACGACCAATAATATCTGTTATCAACAATTGGGAGGGAAGAAAATGAATAAGATGAGTATTTGTTTTGTTTTCATTCACTGTTTTGATTTGTATTACATTGTATGTGCCATGCTCTCCATATGATATTGTTCAGTCTAATTTTATCCTTTAGCTTCAAAGGTAATCCTTTGAACGTTTTCCATTTGGGTGAGGTGATACTACCACTGTAGGCTAAACTCATACACTCGAACAGTTTACTTAGACCTTCATCGATGAAACGTCTTGGTGGGAAAGCTCTTGCTGTTGGAAAATGGTGAAGATATTGATGAGGTTGAAGATGATTATGATTCTGATTTGAATTATTATTATAGATAACAGGGTAACGTGATTTGGTGACAACCTCAGAGGGTTGTATTGATTCAACACCAATTGGTACAACTGAGGTCTCTTTAAAATTGACAGTTGATTGATCAACTTCACTGGCATCATCTTGTTGATCATCAATTTGTGAAACCATAAAATGACCTGAATGAATTATCTCAGATTTACATTCTCGTTTAATTATCGTTGATTGTGATGTTGGTGAAGAGAGTGCACCTAAAGATGAGGAAGATTGTTGATTTTGGTGAAGATGTTGTTGTTGCTGCTGCTGTTGTTGTTGTTGTTGATGGCGATGATGGTGATGTTCAATTGTTTGATTTTGTAATTGTTGTTGGTGATTGTGATTGTGATGATGATGATGTTGTTGTTGTTGTACATGATGGTGTGAATTTTGTTGAGGTTGATTCCATCCTCTAACATTTAAACCTACGCTGTTACCAACAGACGTATTCTCATCATTTTGTAAATAATTTGAGGTAGAATTATTTTGATTGTGATTAACAGTATTTGTAGATGAAGGAGAAGATGTGATTGAAGACAAGGCTAAATGATTTCCATCAACAAATTGTAATCTTGTTGAAACTTCATTGTGTCCTTGTAACATCATGGTTGATGTTGTTCCACTTGTGTTTGGTGTTGTTACTGCCGCTAATCGTTTCTCCGGCAAACCAAATGGACTCATAATTGTTGACATTTTTAAAGCACAAACAGTTGATCATTTCTATTCAATTTTATAAAACAAAACAAAACAAAAACGGCACCAAAATAAACACACAAACACATAGTGTATCCAAAGATATCCAATTGACACAAGAACGAAACCAAAACAAAACCAGAGGTGGCAATTAATAAAACCAAGAGAATGTAAAGAAAAGGAGAGAGAGAGAAAAAATAACAATTAGTTAATGAATGAAATCGAAAAAGAGAAAATTAGAGCAATTATAGAGAAAGAAAGAAAAATACTCTAAAGAAAGGGTAAGATAAGGAAAGAGATTTACAGTTAATATCCAAATAGAGAAACGAAGAAATTTTTTTCCATGTTAATAATCACAAGGAATAGAATCAGTTACAGTGAAGCTTATGGGGTGGTTGGTGTTTACGATGGAGGTAGTTTGGTGGTGGTTGTGGCCATGATTATTAACAAGAGTAATAGAGATGATGAGTGGCTGATTGGGAGAGAGAGAGAGGAGAGATAACAGAATGGGAGAGATGATGATGAGAGTGTAGGGGTGAAAAGAGATGCAGAGAGTGGGAAAGTAATATTATTGATAGAGGAAGATAGTTGGTTATTTGTCTTGATAAAATTCACAAGCTAAATTACACTGAACAGTTGAAGATGGAAGAAAAGAAAGAAATAAAGAAAGAGAAGATAACACTTTTGAAAGAGAAAAAGGAAGAGAGGAGAGAGAGAGAGAGAGAGAGAGAAACGTTAAAGTTAAACGACTTGGGTTAGATTTTGATTGGTAATTGAATAGAAAATGAAAGAACAAATTTACTTTCTCTCTTAGGCCTAATCCAAAAGAGAGATCAAGATATAAACTATTAACCAGGAAAATGGAAGTCACTTAATTTGGAATCGTAATTAGTTGAGACAAAGGATAATTGTTAATTAATTGTTGAACAAGTTGATTATGGAAGAAAAAAAAAGAAAAAGATAAGAGAGACAGAGAAAAGGGAAAAAAGTGAAGAGGTTCGTTTACCAGAAAAGAGAAAAAATTTCCAAAAAGAAAATGGAAAAGTGTAATGGTGATTATCACTTTCTATTTAGATTAAATTCACTTTAACAGCTTTTAATTCAATGGACAATTCACCAATTGATTAGAAAATTAAATTAACTAATTACAATCAACATTAATTAGAGAGAGTTAAGGTTATTATATAGGTAAATACACTATCATAGATACACATTGATTTTGGATTGACCGATTTGTTGAATTGTTGTTGTTGTTGTTTAATTAATCGTTGAAATTTAGAATTAATTAAATTGGAAATGTAAAACTGGCGATTTTTGAAGAAACACAATTTGTTGATTGTTAATTTTAATGAAATAAAAAAAAATGAAAACAAATTAAACATCAAGAGGAATCAAAATGAAAGGCTGATTGAAAATAAATCTACTGATTAAAACGTAACCATTAGTTTCCAGGCAGATTAAGTCACGTGACTTTTTGTTAGTTTTCGTTGATTAACCAATTGATGGAAATTAACAATTTAACTAAAAGAAAATGATTAAACAAATTCTAATAGAAATTGTTCAGATGAGAAACAATTTAAACGAGAATTAACATGTTGATGATGAGATTGTTTTGGAAGAGGAAAAAAAAAGTAAAACAATTAACATTTCATCATATGGATTATTATGATTATCTCATCATCATTTTCTTCAATTGATTGTTATTATCAACATTTTGATGATGGTGTCGATAATTATGTTCAAGATGATTTCAAATGATTAGTTATTATAAGTGATAAGTATTACAATTAAAGAGAGAGAGAGAAAAAATCTAGAAAGTTTGAGTAAACATTGAGAAGTAAATTGCTGTAAAGTTAAACGTATTAATTGTTTGGATTAATCTAAATACTAATTATTAGTAGAAGAAGTAAGAAAAGTTGTTAATTAATTAGATGATGATGATGAGCAGCATTGTAATTGAAACAATAAATAATTCAAATAAGAAACACAAGCATAATAGTGAGAGAAATCAACAGAACCTTGAATGATTATGGTTGATTAGTTGTCTCTCTACAATTAACTTTATGTATCAAGCTCATGTTTTTTGTTCATAGGCCTGAGGTTTGTCCTTGTGAAATAACCTTGAATCCAATATCTTGTGTCTCCTTGATATTTTTCTGCTGTTAAATTAACTTTCTGTTGTATTGTAACTATTAACTAAATTGCTATTCAATAAAGTAAAAAATTAAAGAAAATCAGTCAAGTCCGGTTCGGGTTGAAGGTAGTCTTGTAAAAATCTCACTTGTCCAGTTAGTTGTTGTTTTTGTTGTTGTTGATTAAGATGATGATTGCTGGTAATTTAATGGTAACAGTTTTGGTATTTAATTCATTTTCTGTAAAAATAAATTGATAAAATAATCAGTTAATTGTTTGGTTACTTTCTTTCTCTCTTCATTTACCTTTGTTTTGTTTTCTTGTTATTGTTTATTTTTGGTGAATTTCAACTTGATCGCGATTTTCAACTGATTATCTGTAAATTTGCTGTAGTTTTAGTTATTATATCGATTAATTTATCATGATTAAAACTACAAATTCCTTCATCATGATAAATTAATTTAGTTTTGTTTCCATTGTGTAGATAACAATCAGTTTCATCATAAGTAAATGGATAAGACAATTTTTCCATCGGTAAATCAAGAGACCAACAAAGATTTTGACAAGACAATTGATTATCTAATTGAATAAAAAAAAACAGAAGAAAAAATGAAAATGATTAGTAATTAACAATAACAATTTGATTCAACGATACACTAGGTAATTATGACGATAATTAAACATAATGATTTACCTTTAACATTTAAATACTTCAATTGAGACCATATAAATTTCATCGTTTCATAATCCAAGTTGATCAACTTATTACCAGATAAATTAATCTCAATTAAAGTTGTCATTCCATTGAAAAGATTATTTTCAATTATTTCTAAATTGTTGTCACTAAAATCAATTGACCAAAGTTGATTAGCTGTTTCAGGTAATGAATCTCTGGTTATCCTGGTTAATCCTTGATTACGAGTTATTTGTAAATATCTTAAATTAATTAGATCACTTAAAGCTCCTGATTGTATTGAGGTGATTTTGTTATCAATTAAACTTAACCAGGTAACATTTGAACCAATTACTTTGGAGGTAAATTTTTTGGTTAAAATTGTTGAATAAGCAGAAAGTGTTGAATTTTCAATTAAAATTTGATTAAAATTAAATGATGTCCATTTCCATTCAAATATGTGCCGACTATTGGTAATGGTCAGTGATTTATGATCAGGAATATCAATTAGTGTCTCATTGTCAACAAATTGTCGTTCACGTCTGTTATTAGTGGCCTGAGATGATCCTCCACATCCTTCAATGATTAGATGATTAAATGAAATGTAATTTAAACTTGGTCCAAAAATAACTCGATCATCAAAAGTAATATTTACAAAGGTCAGTACGTGAAGTGATTTAGTTAAATCGGTCAACGATGATCTCTCAATGTTACCACAAATTATATTCATTGAATCTGTTGATATGAAAAGAGAATAGAAAAATTCAGTTAAATTGGTTGATTGAGTTAACAATTAATCAATACAAACCTTTCTTGCTTTCATAACATTCACATGAATCTGGACAATCAGTCAACTTATTCTGATAATTAGAATAGCAAATAAGCACAAATGGACATAGAATTTTAAATAATGAAAACATTATCACAACTGATTAGTGGTTAATTTTTTTTCTCCTTCTCTACCAATGTGATTACAATTGTTTCTCACTTTACAGGATTTGATTTCTAACAATTTATTTCCTCAATCAAATTGATCAAACTCCAATAATTGAAAGAGAATCTATTAATTGCTAATTTCCTTTAAAAGGATAAATAGTCAGATGAAAGATTGACCAGCAATTAACCAAGAACCAGAAAAAACAGTTAACAGGTGACTTACCATTGATTGGAAAGACCAGAAAACACCAATGAACAACTGAAACATGAAAAATCCATCTTGATATCAACACCAAACCGATCCAAATAGTCACTAAATTATTAACCTAAAATTAACAAAGAGAATAGAAAATAAAATAAACAATTAACAGAAGACAATCAATTAAGTAAAACAGAAGATCAACCCAAAGGCCTAACCAATTCTAATCCTTTGCAGACGAGTAATTGTTTCTTTCCATGTTATGGTCATCTTTGAATTCACCAGATGACCTGATACTCTCCATATTCTAGGACACTATTGACACTTTGAAATCAAATCAAAATCAAATGGATTCCTAATCAATTCAGGGGAAAAGAGAAAATCAAATTAAAACCAAACCAGAAGATGAGACTTGATCTTTTCCCGCCTACCAAATAAATGGAGCCAAAGAAACAAATTAAACAAGAGATGGAATGAAAATCAAAGATTCCAATCAACCATCTCGTTAATCAACTAAATCACATGGCGGAGATAATTTGATCCAGAGAAAATTAATCATCACTAATTAAAAATAAAACGAAAAAAATAGTTGATCAACAAAATTTGAATTAGAAAAATTTTCCAATTGTTATTTTGTATTCGCTGAAACAACGCCATCTACCTGGAGAAAAGAAAACCAACTAATCAGATGTTTTCACTTTCAGGAGAAAATTTTTTCCATCAAATTAACTGTTTATGCTTTTGCATTTCTACTCTTCAATTGGAAAATTAAGATTAATTGTTGTTTTTTTTTCTCCATTTAATTAATTGTTCCATTACCATCTACATCTTTGTTAACTATTCCTTTCAATTCCTTTTAAATTCTTTCATCTCTAATATATTTCTCTTTTCGTCTCACTTTGTATATTTTCCAATCTCTCTTTTTTTTTATCTCTTTTTTTGCTCTTCTATTTTACCTATTGTGTGTTTGGTATCATGTTGGTAACATATTCATATGGTTTAACAAGGTTCCTCGAGGAAAATAGTTACACTGTGTGACCATGAATTGGTGAAAATATCTATCCATTTGTATATTATAATTGTGTTTAATTGTAAGTTGAAAATGTCTTCAATTTTTTCTGTTCCAATTACTTTTACTTTCATTCACCATTTTCTCCTTTCTCTCTTTCTTTTTCTGGTGGTTGATTAGGCCAATGTCAATCTTGACCTTATTCTTGTCACCAAATTGATTTCCATTCACCAGCTATAATTACTTCTTCCAATTTGATTACATTAAATTGACGTAATTGAAAATTCTCGGTGCAAAGAAAAAACGAAAAAAAATTCTATTCTTTTTTCTTGTTTACCCAATGTGATTGACCTTTTCTCGGTTGTTTATTTCTTTTGTTTTAAAAAGGTAAACGATTTTATGTGTGATGAATTTACTCATTTATCTTGTATATTATCTTGTGATTCCTGGATCAATCTGATATCTTTTACCTGGAGAAGGTGAACAAAAAAATCAATCGAAAAATCTCATCAGTTATTCAATCCCTATTTCCACCATCTTCCTACTCTTATGTTTTTCTTTTATCTTAATGAACAATTTACTAATTAGTTTTCTTTTTTATTCTCTCTCTCTAGGAAGTAGAGAGACAAACATAGAGAGAGATGGGCCTGTGTATTTGTCGAGATTGGTTGATTAAAAAACGAAGCTCATTCTCTTCTGAAAGAGATTTAGAAGATGATTATTCCACAAACGGTTCTCGAGTTCGTCGAGATAGTAACGAAGGAGGTGATGGTTCTATTATTAATTCCACTCATCATCATCATCATCGACGGCATCATCGTCGTCATACCGAACGCACTAGTGATCATGTTATCGATCACCTTATACTAGATACTCCAAATATGATCAGAACTTACCTAGAATTGTAAGTATATACATCACTTTACAAACGAGAAACATTGAATTTCTAGTAATCACACTCAGAATTAATCAGCAATAATCACACACAATATCATCATTTCCTGTTGTTGTGATTTCTTTTGATTATATTTATCTTTTTCTCTTCCTCTCATAATTGTTTTAGTCGCATCTCCACAGTTTAATTCATCTCTTTGTTTACAATTAACTTTTAATCAATCCAGTGATTTAAAATACATTTACTTTTCATTCAGTGTTACAAGATGAAAACTTAATCATTTGATGTTCATTTAATTGTATCACCTTTTCACCTTTCCAACGATTTGTTGATTGTCTCTAAATTTTGTTAGTGAATGAATGTATATTTGTTTGTGTGTGTATGTTAATTGCTTGAAGCTTTTTCTACAATCAAATCATTAAGGTCATGAACTTGACTCGCTTTCTGTATGTATAAATGTTCAAAAGGTCAACACTTAAAACGATGAATATGAAACTTAGCTGACCAGTAAATTAGGTTATTCGTTTTAAATGTTAACTGATCATTAAGAATAAGAAATAGTTGAATAGTTTTTTTTCCTCATCATTGACTATTTACTTTTAGCTAATTCATCAATGACCAACATTAACATTGAATCAATATTCATTTTCTCCCGTTAACAATAACAATTAGCTAAAAATACTAATTAATTTACTAATTGTCTTTTTCTTTCTTCTTCTTTTTTTTATATTTCACCAGTGGAACTCAATTACCTCCTTCAATGATACTAATTCATTCATTCGCAGAAACCGAACGAGGTTGGATCTATGTAATTAAATCGATGATTAAAAATATTCCCATAGAAAATCCTCTTGGATCAGCAGCGATTTTACTCCTTCTAGATGAATGTCCACTTCCTACCAAGGTAATTCTCATATTAATCAAAAGATTCTCATTGAAAATGATTTACTAATTGTTTCTTTTTATTATTCTACCTTATTAGGAATCTATTATTAAATTGACGAGTGTATTAAATTTAAAGAATTCATCAATTAAATCAAATAAAACACTAACCCGCCATCGTAATATTTGCGTTATGCTTGGATCGTTGGCCGAAAGACTTGCTGGTCCAAATAGTATCGCCATTCTAACTCCAACCGTCTTAAAGTATCTCATCAATAATCTTAATCCGAAAAATCATCCGTTAATCATCCTCTTCTCTTTAATTGCTTTGGAAAAATTTGCTCAAACCAGTAATTATCATCTCATCTTTGTGTTTAACTTTTTCTTTGTTTACTCACCTTTATAATTCAATTCTAATCAACTGAAAAAAAACTGAAACTTATTTATAAGTTATTGATAATCAATGTTTTGCTGTTTTAGATGATGATTAATTAATCATCAATAATTTTCCAAATATTGAAGTACATATCAAATAGTTTTCTAGATAAATATAGTTGCTAATTTACAACATCATCGACTTGTCATCAGTTAGTAGGAACAATTTAAAATTTATACAGTCATTATGATTACAATTAAATGAGATTTAGTCAAATTTATCAATAGCAATTCATTGATTTATCTATCAAATTGATTATTTTTGGTTATTATATAGTCAATCATGAACCAATTGTTTGTAGTTAGTCATAAGAATTAATTATTTTTGTTATCATGGATTTTTATTATTGTTTTAATTTCATGTTCATTGATTACTAATCTCTCTCTATTTTAATCTCTATTTTCAGGTGAAAATAAGCTTACAATCCATAACAAAATCCAATCTCTACCAGATAATCCACTCTTGGTACTAGAGAAATGGACAGATGACCCTAACTTTGATCGCCAACAAGTTGGTTTTTGTGCCCAATGGTCACTGGATAATATTTGTGCGTATCCATTGTATTTACGTTTCATTCCAACAATTAGATGATTAGATTACCATTTAACTATCACCATTTTAATTGCACTCATCTTATCAAGCTACCATGATGATGAAGCGACAATAAGGTCATCATGTGCTCAATTAGTGGAAGATTTTTCCATAATTAAGATAATCAAATTTTCATTATATTGAAACGTTTTACTAATAATCTTTCAATCATTTTGATTAAATTTATTTTTCTTTGCTATTTTTCTTACCATAGTTATCCAAGATGATCGACCTTTTGCTTACGAAAATATTGATAGAAAAAATCTCAATGTTCTATTAAATTCAAAGGATACAAGTGAATATTTAAAGATCTCACCTAATGGACTAATTGCTCGATGTGATTCAGCTTCATTTGAAAGTGTTCGTTGTACATTTCAAGCGGACGAAGGAGTTTGGTACTATGAGGTTACCCTTGTCACCAGCGGTGTCATGCAAATTGGATTTGCTACCAAAAATAGTAGATTCCTTAATCATGAAGGTCATGGTATCGGTGATGATGAATATTCACTTGCCTATGATGGTTGTAGACAATTAATTTGGCACAATGCTCATCCCTATCAATCTAAATACGGCTCTTGGAAACAAGGTTAGCAATTAAGTTAACCATTTTCACCCATATATATAGATTCCAATTCCAATAATCAAAAAATATTTGTTTCAATGATAAATTTCAATCACTAATTATGATTATCCTTTAAGGTGATACAATCGGTTGTCTATTAGATTTGGATAATCAACGGATTATATTTTCTCTAAATGGTGTCCCAAAGCCTCCATGTACTCAGGTTTTTCAAAATGCAACGTAAGTTAATTGATCAATATTGCATATGATTGATAATTAATTTACTAATTGTTGAATTGTTTCATCTCATACAGGAAAGGTTTCTTTGCTGCGGCGAGTCTAATGTCATTCCAAGAGTGTATTTTTAATTTTGGTCGTGAACCTTTCAAATATCCTCCGATTGGTGTTAAATTTAAGTGTTTCAACGATCATGCCAATCCAACGGAAGAAGAGAAAATCATTTATCCAAGGTAAATAATGGAAACTCTGAATAGGCTCAGAATTATTTGATCAACTTGTTTCATTTGTTTTCATCTTTTCCTTTTCTAGATTTTTAATCTTACGAAATCTACACAAAAGTTCATTGCGTGAAGATTGTTGCACTTTGTGCTGTGAAAATGTGGCCGATATCATGTTACTTCCGTGTAAACATGACGGGTTTTGTTTTACCTGTGCAAATATATTAGAATTTTGTCCAATGTGCCGATCAGATATTCAAGAACGAGTCCAACAAGAGATTGTTGATTCAACAATAATCGATGATAAAGAAGAGAAATTAGATGAACCAGTGGAAATTGATGATTCTAATCAAAAGAAATTAGGATTACATAATAATACAATAATGACCTTACAACAAACTGTCCCATGAAATATTCATCTCATGATTCATGAAGCTTTTGGTCAATTCATTTGATTTCAGAGGAAAAGTTCCATTTTCAACCTGACTGACGCACTTTTTTCACCAGTAAATCAATACCAATCATCATCAGAAGAAGAAGAAAAAACAAAAATAAAGTGACCAACGATTGAGAAAAATGATCATATACTCAATCATATTCGCAAAATTTTTTCTCGCTTTTAAATATCGTAATTATTGGTCTCAATTCAACAATCAGCAAGTTACAAACTTCGCAATTATCAGATTTTTGTTGTTTTTGTGTTGAGAGCAACAACTTTCTCTTCAAATGGACACATCATTAGATTTCATTGATTAATTCATTATCATTTATTTCTGTGGTGTCTCTATCCTCTTATACTTTGGTGAATTGCCCACATCCAAAGTCTTACAAAATCCTTGTCATTATAATTAGTGGACTGTACAATCAACTGATCATCAACAACAAATATGGAAAACAATCAACTAAATACACCGATGGTGTTTATCTTTATCAACCTTAACTCCCTGTGACCTCTGCTCTTTAGGATGATGATATATTTTCTTCGTGCCATATTTTTAATTGCTCACCGTAATTGTGTTTTTGTGCCACCCGTTAATCAATTAGCATCAATGATCTTCGTTGTTATTAATACAATTAAGTTTATATTTCGAATGTAATTACAAAAAAGAAATGCAAAATCGTCAATGTTAATCATGTTGCTTAATCCTTAGAAACACAATCCAGTGAAAATTTGATTATTTCGGTTCATCTGATGGTACTAATTGTTTGATCTCAGTGTAAAAAGCTTAATAATTTTCTTAATCTTAATCCATTTATATTCACAATTTGCTTTACATCAACAATTAGTCGAGGCTAATTGTGAATTAACCTCATCTTTTCTAGGTAACCAGACAATCATAAGCAAAAAAAACAACAAACACAAAGTAATAATACAAGAAAACAATGACAATCAGTTGATTGTTATTAATGGAAAATATGTTTCTAGGACAATTAACCAAATTAATCAAATCACTTTGGCAATATCAACTTAATTTTACAATTTCAGTGAGCTTAAAAGATGCATCATCAGTTAAGTTGAATTGTTGATCAACTAATTGTTTTGGATTTTAACTGCTTATTCCTAGATAATAAGTAGATAGATTAACTTTGATTAAGTTAATTAACTTTTAAATCATTTGGTGATATAAACAAAATAATTCATTGCCTTTAAATCAACTTCCATCCATAACAATTTAAAAAACAAACTTTATACAATAATTTTAATCGTAGCTTGTAATTAATTTGATTGATGTCTAATTACCTAGTAATTAATGTTAACAATTAAATTTTTTCAGCTTCTGTTTGCTTAATCGTTTTTTTTCTCGTTCATCTTAATTGTTTTACCTTTTTGATTTTATTTAAATGTTGATTGGAAACCAATAACCTGTGATCAATATATCTTATTATTTTAAATCGCTTTAAATTGTAAATTAAACAAAATTTGATCACTGCAACAATTAATATTTTATGATTTACCTAATCATTAATTGTCTTTAAAAATTTGTTTCTCTCCTCTATTAATATTACCAATGTATCATTACAACTTGATTTAAATTACTTAATTTGATTTTGTATATATATAACAATGAACATTTAATTAAAACTAAAAATTGGGTTTAATTGTTCAACCATTAAATTGTCCATTTCTGATTTCCCTTTGATTATGATTAATGATTAAAAAGCAGCCATTTAAACCGATTCAATGATGATAGATTATTATGAGAAACTAAATTAACAGTTAACCCACGATTAATAAATTTGATAAATCATTGAACATAAAATGGAATCAAATTGATTAGTACAATTGTATAAATTGTTGTAGCGACGATTTAGTAAATCACTGAAGCCAATCAAAAAGAAAATAAATAAACTGTAAACGAGAAATATAAAAATAAAGGAAAGAATATGAATTAGATTTAACAATTGGATTAGGGAACAATTAAACACTGTGAATGAGACGCGTGTAAGTAAATTGTAACAAAGGTACTCACAATTAAAGCACAATCCTTAACCACTCTTAATCAGTAACAATACAATTTGAATGTTACTCTATGGGGTAAAAAAATCCCACGCGACCAAAAAGTAATCAACAAAACCTATTAAAGTGCAATATCCTTGATAATAATAGTTTTGAATCAACATCAATTGGCTCTGTTGAAGATGGAGAGTGTAGATTATTTTTACACCAGTGGGAATATATGAGAGGACATCTTACGAAATTATGTTAATCATCCTGGTGGATTTAGAATCAAATCTAATTGTTATAACTGTTTTTCTATGGGAAGAGAAAAGGTAAAAAAAAAGGTGAACTGTGAGCTCCATTGGATTGTAATAATTACCATTGGTTCCTGGGAGTGTTTTCAAAACTATCGCCATTTTGATAACATTATCATCCAGCTAAATGATTGTGATGATAAAACGGTGGAATTAATTGAGAATAATGAATTAATTATCTTAATCCGCCTTCTCTTTTTTTCCATTTGATTGTTTTCCTTATTCTTTGTTTCCATTTGCTTTTTTTTGTTCCTTCTTTGATTTGTTTATACTTTTCCTTTTTCTTTTTCATCTCTTGATTTGGTTCTCATTGTGATGGTAATTAAAGAAGATTTTTCTTTTCGTTCGTCCTTCAGATTAATTAGTATATTTCCATAAATTCGTTATCTCTTCTTTCTCAATATTTTGATCTTTATCCAGGTAAAGGCCAAGAATCACTTGAGTAATTAAAAGTTAATCTTTTAATTATCTCTCTTCTTAGTTGATTAAGTGAAAATGATTCCATTATTCAAATTAGTCTTTCAAATGTTGACAGTACTTCTCATGATTCAAATTGTTCACATTTTAGATACACAGCTTGTAGTTGTTTTGAAGGTTTTGTGACAGTCATTTTTCACCTGAGAAAAAAAGTGTCAAATTAATACATTAAGACAAGTGAAAGTGTGACAGTTTTGATGATTACATCAAATTCAGTAAGAGATTCACCAGGTACCAACAACAGCGAAACAAAAAAATCAGAACCAATTGTGTTAATCCTTTGAGGCGTAAATTGGTTGTTTGAATATGAGAAACATTCCACTGGTTGAATATTACATAGAATAGAATAAAACAAAAACTAGTTTTTCTTCTCCACTGTAAATCAGAGATAATAAATCAATATAAGAAATCAAATTAATTAGATAGAATTTTAAATAATAAAAAAAAACGAAAAGAAAAAAAATTCTATTCACCTGAAGGCATAAAGAAAATTGAATCAAATGATGAGAGAACAACTGATAAATCAAATTGAGAAAAAAGCGGTTAAATTGTTAATCTAAATAGAAGCAAATCAAGGTGAGATCTTCAGGTAATGATAATCAATGTAATTAACGAATTTCGGTCGATGACAAATTAAGTTGACAACAATTAATCAAAACACAATTAAGAGACAAAAACAAAAGATTAACTAATTTTTGGAGAAATCAAGTGATCCAATTTAGCGCCATCTCCATTTATTAGTTGTTACTTTTGGAGGGACAATCAAGTTAATCTTATTGAGATTATCTGATTGGAAACAAAGGATTGAAAGTTAATTGTTATTGATTTTTTTTTCTTTAATTGTTGGTGATTTTTATTCTATTTTAAGTAGTGATTAAATTTAGATGGATTAGTCGGTTAGTCGTAAAAATGCCTGATGATGAGAGTCAATTTCCTAAAGGTTAGTTACTCTTTTATTTCCTTTGTTTACATTTCCACCTTTGAAGATTTGATTGTTTTTCTTTTTCTATATTTTATATTAAATACCAATTTAATTGTTCACTTTTTAATTGTCTTTAATTGTGAATTTTGTTAGAATTTCTTTTATTACATGATGACCAGGGAGATGGAAAAGAACCGGAAAAAGGAGGTAAGTTATATAATTTCTCTCATTAGATATGAGTAAATGTTATGATTGCTTTCTAATTCTCTCATCCGTTCTTCATCCTCATCTTCATCATTTATTTTTTTCTTTCTTCATTAACATCATTCTTCATCCACATCTTCATCATCATCATCATCATCATCTTCTTCTTCTTCTTGTTTATATCAATTTCCTTTCGTTCATTTGGTGGGAAAATATCATCATTATGTTTACGTTTTGCTGTTTCTTTCCTTGGTTAATATGTAAACACTAACACTCTAAACTTTTCAACTTGACGAATACCTTAATCATGTCTGTACACATTCACTTACCTGTAACCTTAGGTAACAAGTGATTTGCTGAAATTGTTTAAGTGCTCAACCGGACAATCAACTAACTAACGAAGATGAAGAAAAAAAAACTAACCAAGGTCAGAATTACATCCATATAAATTCAACAACAATTTCTCTACTTGTCTCTAGACAGGTAGAGAAATTATTTTTCTTCATCTTTTTTTACCTTTTACCTTTTTTCTTCTCATCTCTTTCTCTCTCATCTGTGTAAAAGCTATTAAACAAAAGGCCATTGAAAGAAAACAACATTACCAAATTTAACATAAAAGTGAGAAAAAATTTTCACCATAAAAAAACCTTAGACCTTAAAAAAGACAATGGGGATAATCATGGTAATACTATAATCTATTATCATCAATTGATTATTTTCGCCCTTTTTGTGCTCTTTTCTCATATTAATATGTACTTTTATTTGTCCCTTCATAAGATTACCTGTTAAATCATAACAATAGTAAATAACAATTAACAGTACAACCCAAAAATAACCAACACCAAACTTTAACCACCAAGACTAAACCCAATGTAGGTAACAATTGTTTACCAGGTTTGGTTTAGTTTCCATGTTGTGATTAGTAATATTTGGTAATTAGTTGATTTTATGGTGAATTTAAACTAGAATATCTGTTAATTGTATCTAATTTCATTTTCTCTCTCAATCGCTCAATTTACTCTTCAGGTACACGCACGATATCATGGTAAATAAAGGAGCGTCTCAACTTGGATTAATTGTTGTGGTTAACTGTTAATATACTTGGATTACAATTTTATTTGATTTGCTATTAACTATTTCCACAGTTGAAATGATCAAACAATCAAAGGACAACAAAGGAAATTGTTTAAATTTTTTACTCTCCCAAACGGCTACTTGATAGAGATCAGATAGAGAGCTGTGATTTCCGTTAAGCCATCTTATCGTACTGGCGATTGGTCGGTTTTATGAGTTATCATCCCTCTAGATGATGATGATGTAAATATTGATAGAATCAATATTAATGACTGAGAGAGAAAAAAATCCAAAAAAAGCAAATGATGCATAGAAACTAAGAGAATGTTGAAAATTCTCGATGAACAAAGGTTCTTCTTCTTGAGGCCAGTTTCCGTTCTCTTCACTTTCATATGTTCTCTCTAAAAGCTTCTCTTTCGCTTCCTCCTCTTTCTACCCTCATTCTTATCATCATCTTCATCTTCATCTTCATCTTCATCTTCATCTTCATCTCTCTCGCCCAACAGCCGATAGCAAGGTCAATGAGTGAAATTTATGCAAAGGGAGAGAAACTTGTTTACTCTGTCGACTCTGTCGATTCTTTTGACTTTTTTTTCTTCTTTCAAAACTCCGAATAAGCAATTAATTGTTGTCTCATCATCTTCATCTTTTCTTAATTTATACACAAATGAATACTAATCAATTGGGCTCCTCAATCTTAATCATTTTGATTTAACCCAAAGAGTTGCAATCACCCCAACCCTCAACCAAAACAAATCACATCAATGGTTAATTGTCTGCTATTCAATATTTGGTGGAATAAAAAAAAAGGAAGAAGAATCATCTTTGATGATGAAAAGAAAGTCGTTAAGATTCATCTTCTTACAGACCCCATAGAGTGATGACCATCTCCCAATCATCCTCATCATCTTTTCATCTTCATCTTTTTTTTCTGGTTATCCAAAAGTTTTCAATGAATTAACAACAAACTCATCAGACTTTCAATTCAACGATTTTGACAACAAACAATTTGACAATATTATTAATCCTTGATGTTTATTTTTACTTTTTTTCATCTTTTTCCCGATGATGTAAGATAATCACAATTTAATCAAACAATCAACAAAGTGGCAACCAAATTAATAGCCAACAAATGGACTTCATTGATCCCTATGGATAAAAAGATCTCAGCATGAAAGCAAATTGAATGGATTCTTATTATTATTACATGGGAAGAGAATCAACTTTAGAAATGATATTCAATCAAATGATGTAATCAGTCAATCAAAAAGGAGCAGAAAGTTAATTGTTACCTAATTGTTATCCCTAAACTGAATTAATTCAATCTCTATAAATGTTGCCTTATTAATGTTTAATTAATCGGCGAGTTGATTTGAAAATTTCCAACTCCTTATTTACAAAACAGACTAACCCAAAAATTATTAATTACCAAAAATCATCAACAATTAACTGATTGATTAATCACTACAATCAAATAATCAATAATTGAAAGTGGCTTTAAGTAATTTAAATGATTATTATTACAATTTATCTTCCTGATTATTAATATGACTGATTGTTGTTAACATTTTTCTTGATTGTGATCTAATTGCTTTGAGGTTTTTACAGTTAATTTTGTTCCCATACAACTGACCAATTAAACAGTTAACCATAAATGGTACTGGTTAATTGTTGATGGTTTCATGATAATATTAATAATAATCTAATTAAATTGTTTCTTTACTACAAAATGAAAGGTCATCTTCAGTTTAATTGTAATTAAAAGAGGATCTTAAATGAGCTTATATGTACAATCAGATCATTTATTAGATTGTTGTTGTTTGGGTTAATTGTTTGAAATGAAATCAATTGACTGATTTAATTTGTGATCATCAACAATCATTTTGTAAATTGTTGCCTTTTCCTTGATTACTAATTAAATTATTAAATTGTCCTTCATCATTGAATAACAATTAACTTAGTGAAACAATTATTTCAACCACCGACGCTTTTTGATCATCTAAATGATTAAGATTAATTTGATCCGATCAAATCAAATCAAGGTTATCCCGATGTTAAACTAATTTAAATTACAACCACAATTAAAAATCTTTGTATTAAATCAAGAGCAATCAAGGACAATTAGTTGTGAAAACAACAAAATTAGATCGTAATCAATAAATTGTGGTTTTATTACAAACAGAAAAGTTAATCAACTTGTTAAGAGACAACAATTTAAGTGTATTTAAAATGTGGTAGTTTATTTTAATTGCTAAAATCAAGATTTTTAATTACAATAATTAAGACTAATGGCACTGACAATGTAGTCTCTTTCTGATTTAGTTAGGATATCTTTTTTTTCACTGATTTAGTTACAATTAAGGGTTGATTTAGGAAGAGGAAGAAACAATTTACAATTTATCATTTGTTGAAAATCAATTGATTGTATTAATAGTAATTGTTGTTGATTTGTTGATGATGAGGATGAACAAGTTCAGCAAAAAAAAAAGTTGATGATGTGAGACAATTGTTGTTGTTGATGATGAAGATGATTAAGTTGATAATGAATAAAAAATACCAGTTGATTAACAGCAATCAAAGATGAGGATGCAAAGTATTATAATCAATTGATTGTAAAACCATAATAATAATACAAAACATGATAATCCTAAATTGTAATACAATGAAGATGAATCAATAACCTTCATGGTTAATTTTGTTTTCTTAATATAGTTGATGATGAAAACAATTAAAATAAATTGTTCAAAATGATACAATCAAATCACTTTGATATCCTATTGACCATCATGGTTAATCAACAATCAGCTTTTCATGATTAAATCCAGTTTACCAAAAGTTGATTAATGTTTACTGTCTGTATGTGTGTTCAAATTATTTACAATTAACTAGGTACAGGTATCACAATTAGCTTGATATAATGTTTCAAAGACTCTCAATATAATTATAATCCTTCTTGTTGTCGATTATTTGATTTAATTGTTGATTAACTAATCATCAATTTACTTTTGTTTCGTTTTGTCAATCCACTTGAGTATAGTTGATGATGATACCATTACAATTAAGTTAATTACATCTTCGTTGTCAATAAAGTTTTGGTTTTCTGGTTGTTTTTTTTTATTCATATCGGGATTGATACACACAGTTGATTGTTGGACAGTCAATCGTGTTAAATTTACTGGATTTAATTAGTTAGAAGGACAATTAACTTGTTGATCACTTTTGGAAACAATCAACAGGAATCAAGGATCGATATTTACAATTATTATCACATTGCTTTATATCCTTGATCTTAATTGTTGCTTTAATCTATCTTTCCATTGGTCAGTAAATTAGTTTATCATTGTGGTGGTTTTTTTTGGTGTAATTAGTGGACAATGGTCATCATGATGGACCCGTTTCAGGGAAGATGACTCATTGTTGTTGTCCGGCTTTCGGATTGATTGTAACTGGTCAAATGGCTTAGATCTGAATTGTAAGTTCGTAGGGAATCATTATGATGATCTAATTGTGGTGATAATTTTTTCTGAAAATTTTGAATATAATGCTAAATGATATTGAGGAAGAAATGAAAAGTAAAAGGTTAATTAATTGTAATTGTGATTAAATTGTTAATTGTTTTCTATCTGGACAATTAACTTGTGAGGAAAACAAGAGGTTCATTTAGTAAAAGTGGTTAAATTGCTCATTTAATTTGAGTTAAATTCATCAAGGTTAATTTTTTATTGTTAATTAACATTCAAAGTGATTTATAAATTGATGTTGTTTATTGTTAATTGTTCAGGATAATCGGTTTTAATTTAATTATTAGCTAATTAGATACAATACTTTGTTCATCTCTAATAGCTGATTTAACAGTTGATTGATTAGCTGATTAACTGATTAGCTTATTGAATAATTAGTTTTGATTTTCCAATAATTACAATTGTAATTATCAGAGTAGAGCTAAATCATCAGCCTAATCTTAATTATTATTATTAACATTTAATTCTGATAACATCGACTTAATTGCAACAATTTAATTTTTCAATTATGATCAACAATCAATAATAATTCAGGATCAAGGTGATATTGATCCTCAACAGAAAATATTTTGATTATTACAGTTGGTGTAACAATCAGTTGATTATAAATCATAATAATAGTGATTTAAATTGTTGGCATTAATATTAAGGCTAAATTGAGGTCATTTGGTTTAATATTAACAACGAAACATTAATTTGATTGGCATAACTATGATTAACTAATTCAATCAAATTGTAATCTAACAATAATACATCATCTTTAATAAAGCTAATTTTGGGGTCAATAGTTAATCAAATAATTTAAAATATCGACAATTAATCAAGTGGAAAATCAATGAGAAACATTTAGATTGATAATTAAAATCAATTAACTATTGAAACAATTACTACGATGGTAAAAGTTGCCTGAGGGCAATTAACTTGATCATCATTCAACTTCCGAGTGAAAGTGATCATTTTCTTGTTAACAATTAACTAATTGTACACAAAACAATCCTTCACAATACAATACATCAATGTAAACTAACAATTTAATCAAGGTTTTTAGTTAATCATCAGCATCATCATAATGATTAACATAATCATAGTTAAGCAGAGCGGAAAGAGGGAAAATTAAATTTCAACTTAAAATTGATTACGATGAAGATTAAATTAAACTAATATAATATATATAAAAGTACAATTAACTAATTAATTATCGTTGATACAATTTAATGGGAAAAGTACATTTGTGTATTTGTCCCGAATCCTGAATCAATCTTAATGATTAAGTTAATAGTAAAAGTTGATTATCAATCATAGTAAAAAGGCTAAATTGTCAATTTAAGATTAACAATGATCGTTAATGATTTAGGGTGACAATTAGAAGTGATCGTCGTTAGTTGTCTGTTGATTTGGAAATTAACTAACATCCTTTCAAACGTGATTACGATTCTTAAACCTGATTGAGTTTAAAGGTATTTTTTTCATACAAGAAGATTATGTAAGCCATGATGATGATAATGACGATGATGATGATGATGATGATGAGAAGGAAGAAGATGATAAAGGTAAGTTGACAGACTTGTTTCTAGGAAGAGAAAGTGTGGGAAAAAGTTGCAAAATTAAATGATCCAATGTCAAAGTCACCAAATTGAACTGGACAAGTTTACAGGTAACAACAGGTAAGGTAATGATAATGATTAAAGATAATCTAGTTTAATAGGAAATCAGCATTTTCCTTGAGTAATTTAACCCATGGGCAATGTTGAACAAGAATCATAATGATGATGATCAACTTTCAGTTTGTTAATCTTTTCCATTTGATTCATTTAATTTGCTTTTTTTGAAATTCAGAGATTTTATCATGTAAACATGGAGATAATGTTTCAAATACACTGAATGAATATTTTTGTTCATCATTCATTTCGTGATATGAATTAACCATAATCATCAATTGATGATTGTCATCTCATGTTAATGACAATTTCTTCAAACTTTGACACAACAAATGAATATAATGTAATTTATTCAATGAAACAAAGCGACAACTTGTTGATGGGGAAAATTTTCATCTAGTTAACTAGTCTACAGTTGAGTGATTAAAACTACTTGATCCGGTAGAGTGATAATTAACTTAAATTGTTGACTATTTATCAATAGTAATTTGAATAAATGAACCAATACAACAAGTATTATATAACAAACAGCAAGAATCACCATCATGATGATTGTGATTAAATGAGTAACGAGAGTGTATGATGTTAACATTGATGAGATTTTCTCTTCTTTTTCTGTTAATTGTCAATGGAAAACAATTAATTACACAATTAGTTTTCTGATTCTCTTACCTGTGAGATGACATCTCCATGGGCAGTTCGTACTTGATAAAGGTAACGGTATTTACGTTGTTTCTGTTCAGTTTTAGATTCTTCTGCTCGAATACGAACCAAGTCTAAGTTTCCATTTCTACGACTAGATGATGAACTTGTAAAGGTACCGGAAGGGGAATGATAATAACCACGTCCGGTGGCACACCATTGGCAAAATAGACCTAAACAAACCAGGATGATCCATAACATTAAAAGGATCCATGATATAAGACACATGAATAATCCTGAATCGGTAGTATTATTATTTGGTAATGAATTGGAATCGATTCCATAAGCAGTGGACATTAACATTGCATTTCCATTGGACTTTAAATTATCCCAAAACCACAGGAAAAGATTAAAATTTTCAACAAAATAATCTAATCCACCGATCACAAGAGTTGATCCAAACATACATGTAGCCAGAATAGTGCACCCTGTAAGTGAAAATATCCGATAAATGAAACAGAATTAGAATCAGAAATTGATAATCTTTTGACAATCGTGATTAAGGATTAGAAATGTTGTTAATCTGTACTATTAATTCATTGGTCATGATTATTTGGACACATGAAATTGATCTGATGCTATTGTTGTTTGAAATAGTCAATTGTCAATAATGTCAAATCAAATTGATTGTGTAGGATTTTTTTTTCAAAGTGTTGATAATTAGTTTGTCTTCAAGTTAATTAATTTTTTTTCTTTTGGTATTTGTATGAATTAATTAATCAATCGGACATGTGATATTGAGTGACAGTTATAGTTTAGGTTTAATTGATGTCAATTAAAGTTGATGATCAATTTAAAATGATTATATTCATGCCAATTAAAAGATTTGCATCTTTATAATGGTTACGATGATAACGGTCAGTTAAAAATAAAAGATATTGATGGACATGAGTGACCTAATAGTAACTGAGACAAACAGATAATATTGGAATCGGGTTGAAATGATGATGAAATTAAAGATTAGGAAGATGAAGGAAAACAAAGAGAAGATGAGAGAGAGAGAGAGAGAGAGAGAGAGAGAGATGAAAAATGAAGACAAGGATGATGATGGAGACATTGAACTAAGTACATTTTGAGTAAAGAAAACAAAGACAATGAATGAAGATAAAAGATGAAAACAAGTTGACGAAAGTTGAAAAGAAGCAGAAAGATGATAATGATGAGGATGCTTATCATCATGTGTACAGCTTATGTGATGATGATATTTCCAGAGGAAGAAGATAAAAAAAGAGCAACTTAATAAGTCACAAGCTCAGCATGTCAATAGCCTTTGGTGGTAAATATTCAAAGAGATTGGTCAACAAAGTAAAAGAGATCAAGAAAATTGTTTATATTGTTGTTCCGGTCAAGAAAAGTGTCAATTAATTGGACTGAAAATACTGATGAAAGTGAACTGGCTGACTAACGGAAAAGGAAATGACAAAGAGATGCAATAAAAATCTAAATATATGCATGTATATTCATTAGTGATACTCACTTCTACTTGTTAGATAGCTCAGAAAATCATAAACTGTACTGGTCAGTTTAGTGGTAGGAAAAGGTCAGTAAGTTGTAACAATTAGATTTTGTTATGATTACATATCAATAATTCATTGGAACTTGAGTAATTTCATCAAATGAATTGATATTATTCCTATAACAAGATTTGGTGACCTAGTTTTGCTTCATGATGATGTTTTAACTGTTACCTTTTCCGGTTAAAAAAAACAAGGTAACATTAGCAACATGATGATGATTATGTTACATTTTTTTACCGTTACAATAGTATTTGAATGGGTGATAAACATCATGACATATCAGGTAACAAATAACAATTTAAACCACAATTGATAGATAATAATCAATATCTTAATCATCATCATTCACAATTAAAGATAATCAACAGTTTATTTTCATTTTATTGCTGATTAACAACCAAAGAGTTGATATAATCTTAACCGGATCAACCGAGACAAAGTTATTGAGATTAATATCATGATTATTGTTATTGAACCTCAATGAAACGGTTCAGGGGGTTGGAGTGGGAAGGTTAAGGGTGGAAGATGAAGATGAGTTATTTTTTATGATGATGATGAGGAGGAGGTGATGGTTATGGTGGAAGAAGGAGATGAAGAAGATGAACTTAAATCACCCAAAGCAAATCATCTCCATAAACGGAGTCGGAAAATCGGAATGAAATTGAGGAAAAAATTCAAATTTCGCTAAACTACTAATCTTGTGGGTGGAAATGGTGATAACGATATTCAACTGATTTAGAGATTTGGTAAGATGAGCGTTAATGGTTGGAGGTGGAGCCAGTGGTTATTCAACACACTTATCGATGGTGTCCATTAGTTCAAAGTGTTGAAATTAAGCTGAATTTTGGGTTAATTGTGCGCCCGTTTGATTGTCCCAGGCCCTCCGGGCCTTCCTCTGTCGATTTTGACCCTTTAATGAAGACCTAACCTAACCTAATTTAAACAAACACAGGGATAAGTGTGTTGGATAGCTATTAGCTCCACCTCCAACCATTAACGCTCATCTTACCAGAGATTTAAACTGGTCAATGATTAAAAATATTCATCATGTTGTTGATTATAATCATGATCATTTAGTAAAGTTTCATGAATCATGTAATAAAAGTTGTATTATAAGCTAATTGCAAGTACATTAGTTGATGTAGTTTGGGTTATCAATTGATTGTGATTAAATTTTCGAGGGTAAATTTAAGATGAGACAAGTAAATGTATTACCACAATTGATTATTAATTTATATCAATTTAAAGTAATTTAAATCAATAAGTCTAGTCTATGGGAATTGTGTCGCTAATTTAACAAAGTTTTGAAGGATAATTGAAAACGATATTATCATTGACTGAGAGATAGAAAGTAATCAAAGTTAATTGGAAAGCATTGGATATGAAGGTATGATTTAATTGATAAGAGAAACTTAAGGAAATCAAATTGAACTAGTAAGTAATTGAATTAAAAGTAATTAATTGTGGTTAACTAACCTTTTTGAAAGTAGAGAGTTGAAAAAGCTCCGATGATTCCCCATCCTGCAATCACTGAGAATGTGATCCAAATTGATTGGGGTGGTGAGAGAGTATCAACATGAGGTGATAAAAGATGAATCCATGTGATTATCAGAATTCCGATAAAAGTTCCAAGATGAAAACCAAGCACCATAAGTCCAAGCCAAGTTACCAGAAGGGTAACCAAACCGGCAAGAAAACCGGCCGATAGAGAGACGATCAGTGTACCATAGAGTGGAATTGGTGTTGAGGTTGACACGATGAACCCATAGGTGAGAGATGAGACAATTAGGAAACCGGTGAGAAATAGTACTGACCGGAACAATCGGTAACCCGAGAGAATGTAAATCAATCCAAAAGTCACCGCTAAACCACAGATTCCACTGATAACGGGATCATATGTTTCTGGGACTAAAGCGACACATCGTTGCTCTTCCCGAAGAAATTTATCACCAAAATCGAGTATTCCATTGGTGGGAAGGTTAGAGATTAAGGGTGGGGTCACAGGGTTATAGTTGTGATAATGGTGATGGTGATGATGGTCAGTAGGTGATATTGTGGACAATGAAGGTGTTGTTAAGGTGGACAATAGGATTGATGTTGTTGATGGAGTTGCTATTGTTGTCGGTGAAAAAATGATGATGATGATGATGATTCAGTTGTTGGTGATGATGAAGATGGTGTAGTTTTGGGTAATATTGTTGAAAATAAGTGAGAAACTGTTGAGCTTAAAATTGAATTTCCATCAATAAGATGATTTGTTGATGGTGATGATAAAGAATTTGAATTGATTGATGATTCTGAAGATGAGGATAATGATGAGGATAATTCCATGGGTTCATCTGAGTCTATTGATTCAGCCAATTTGAACGAAGGTGAATAAGTTGGATCAATCAAACTGTAAGGCATCATTGGTGTTTATTTGGTGTTTCTTATTGTTGTTGTTTACATCGCTGATGATAAAATGGTAAATAGCAATTAGTTGATGATATTATAAGTGATTAATTGTTTGGAGGAGTAAGTGGATCAATAAACTTTACACTTAGTCGCTTCCCTTTGCCAAGGGATAACAAACAAGGATAATAACTAAACTGTTATAATATTCAAAGTAATTAACATCCAATTGTCTTGATTAAGGATAAGGATTTCGAGTGAATTAAAATAACAATCAAATTGATTACTGGTTATTGCTATTAACTGACAATATATTTACATCATCATAATCTTCAAGATGAGATAGTCAATTGATGATGATTGGGATTCTCAGAGAGAGAGAGGATAAGATTAGAACTAATTTATTAGTTAATCCTTAGTTTCTTATCTATGGGTTTACAATTAAGATGGAAAAATAATCGTAAGTTAAATTGTTAATCCATATGAGTTGTTCAATTTAATTGATGATTATTATGATTGTTTTGGCTTCATTGATGAAGATAATGATAATCTTTAAATTATCATCTTCGCTCAGATTGATAATCATTAAAAAAGTTGAATATTTTTTGGTAAATTTTTAAATTGGAAACTTGATCCATCATTACAATTGTTGGTGATGTTGTGATAATGATGGAATATAATTTGTCTCAAATGCCCATTGATGACCTTGCCCTTGGGCTATAAATGACCTGAGGGTAAACTGAAAAGTAGATAAATGATGTTGATGATGAAATAAAGGTACATAAGTAAAGGTTTTCTCTCTCTCTTATTTTATGATAAAAGTTACACTTTCGATTTGATAATGATAAAGTAATCAAGAGAGTATCCAAATAGTCAGTCATCATTTCAATGGTTAATCATCAAGGTAATCAGTGTATTATTTAGTTGTACAATTTGATAGTTGACTTAACAAAAGTTTCCATCAACTATTAACTTAATTTTAAGTTTGCACAATTTAAAAAGGGAAGTAACAATTTCTTGATTGTTACTGGTGATGTTTTTTTCTGGTGAAAATCAGGATTTAGATCAATGTAAAAAACTACAAAGGTAATCAGAGTGTGTGGATAGGGAGAGGTAGGGGAAGGTGATGAGGATGAGGAGGAGGAGGGAAGGTGAAGATAATGAGCCTCGAGGACTAAGAGAGAGGGAGAGGGAGAGACCTTCACCAGTGGGTTGGCTCCCGTGTAAATTGTTAATCGACACTCTTACTTGAAGATAAAACGAGATTCAAGTCTCTTAGTTGTTAAAATGAGGATGATGAGGATGATAAAGAAAGAGAAAGAGAAAGTAAAAAAAAGATAATGGACATATCTAGGTTAATATGGAAGATAAATTGACAGATGATTTTGTAAAATAAATCCTCAGAGTGTGAATTGTTAAGGCCTAATGGTTCCTCTTTTTCAAAAATCTTTGCTCATCCTCATCATCAAAAATTAACTGAAATATTTTCAACGAGATTAAGAAACAGCTAAAGGTCAGCAAGATCCTATTGAGATTAACAAGAAAAATAAATAACTTTATTACATAATTGAAATGTTTTTTTTATCTATTGGTTAATCTTATTATTTACTGTTGATAAAATTGTTCATGATGATGATTAGAACTGAGGAGAGAGAGAGGAAGATGAAAAGGCGTCAATCACAAATTGAATAGAGTGGGAACCCAGATGATGATGAGGATGAGGATAAATCAAGTTATTGAAAATCAATGTTGCAATTGAAATAAATTATCAAGTTTTTTTTTCTGTCACACTGGTTAGGGTTTCAATAGTAATAATTTGTTAGTGATTATAATACATGGTGATGATGATGATGATGATGATGAGTGGACTGGAGGGGGAGAGGGTTGATTGAAATTATCCCAGGACAATGTTTATCTTCATCATTATCATCATACTCAGTCTCTCTCTCTCTCACTCTTTTTTTACATGAGTGGTGAGCAAGATTGAGGGCCAATCATGTAGATAGACTGATTTTTATTAGCAAGGGGGTGGTAAAGTTTAGTGGTGGTGGAGACAAGGTTGAAAACAAGGTGGATTTGCTTACTACCTTTGTTTACTGTTTGCTTGATTGTTGCTGGGCTCAGGTAACAACAACAACATCAACAACTAAAAGTGACCCCGGACGGCCAGGTAACCATTTACTTGGGTACAGGTTAATTTTTCATCTCATTTTTTTTTGTTGCTCTCGCTTGACCCTTAAGCCTAACAAGAGTTAAATCCTAGACCTTTTTTTAGCTCATTGTAAGAGCCTGGGATTGATTAAGAGGCATCATCATCATCATCATCTTTTTATCTTCATCTTCATCTTTTCATCTTTACATAAATATAAATATAATGTTTATTAGTAGGAGGAGGGTGAAGATGAAAATCTTATAAGTCCAGGAAGATGAATCTAAGCTGTAAAAGGTGAGAAAAGGTCAGCTACTCATTTGCTTATTACTTTTTTCTGCATCTCTAGTAAGCTAATTAACTAATAAATTGTAGTAAATTAGTTTACATCAACTAAAATTACCTGTTGTAAAAAAAAACTAAGAATCAGCATTTGAATGAAGTTTCATGAACTTTTCTCTCTCCATGTTGTTTACTTTAACTATTACATCAATTGATCATGAAAATTGAATGAAATTCATACACTGAACCGGAATAATGATTTAGACTAACATTTAGATTGTTTCTTTAAATACAATTAAATAAATCACGTTCTTGTGATTAATCACGATATAAATTAAAGTAATTGATGGAAACTTATTGCTATTTACTTTGAATGAATTAGTTTCTTGTTCTAATAACTTTGTAGTTAATTGTTGACTTTCAAATTTCTTGATTGTTACAGTAAATTTTAGTTATGATAATAATTAACCAACAACAGTTAGTTAAATATTCAACTGAGATTCTGGTTTGAAATATTAAACATTTTAGATTCATTTTGCTTTCTCTTTGCAATTTAACTGGTTTAAGGTTAACTGTTAATTCAATTGAACAATTAGATTTAATTTGTTACAATTGGGAATATATTTTTTACCTCTTCTTTAATTACACAATGACAATTTAAATGGTAATCTATTAATTTTAATTGTTGCCAACAGCTGAAAAGCTAAAGGCACAATAACATTGAGGGTATATAAGGATATCTGCATTGGAGATACAATTTATTAATCAAGTTAATTGTTGCCAAATGATATAAGCTAATTAATATTGTGGTAGTATATTTACTGATGATTGTGACAATTAATTAAAAACATGGTAACTAATTGGAAATGATTGTAAAAAAAACAAAAGAAACGTTTTTTTATCAATGAAAATTGGGTTAGAAAGTTGATAAATATGATGAAATGCTTATTGGAAATTAATCATTCGAGAATTGGATTGTTAATTGTTTTGGATATTCAAGCGAGAGGGACAGGTGATGATTAAGAATTAAATTGTCCACTGATGGTTAATTAAGAATTACTTACAATTAACTTAAACATGGAAATTGAGGTAAAGAGATGAAGAGATGTTCAAATTTGCCACTGAATGTTTGGTTTGCCTCCGAATTGAAAATCCTTGAATACACAAGAGATGAAGATTCAATGAGACAATTAGATTTTAAAACAATTAATTGTTAATTAGAGTTGATTGTTGGTCAATAAGTTGAAGAAATTGTAATTTCCAATGATCACATTAACACTAAACACTTAGGGAGATGAAGAATGAGAGTTAAAGAGTTAAATCCAAACACCAATGGAAAAAGAGTTGATTAAATTGTGATTCGATTTTGTGTAGAAAAAGTTAATTAGTTATCGAATTGTTGAAAAATTATTTTATCGAAAAGTAAAAAATTGTAATGTTTTTATTGTGAGAAAAGATTTGCAACTGAATCGGCGAGTAAATGTTGTGATGGTGAGTAAGCGAAGGAGATGAAGATAAAGAAGAGAAGAGGGAAAAATAGGAGGGAAGAGGAGGATAAAGAGAAAGAGAGAAAGAAAGAGTATGATGATGAAGATGATGATGATAAGGGAAAAAAGAAAGAGGAAGAAAAATCATCTTTCTTTTTACTGCTCGTTCATCTTTTCCCTTGTTAATTTTTCTCAGGCCAAACAACCAAGAGGAGGAAAAGGTAAACAAAACCTTCGGATATTAAACTGGGACTTTAATTAATATTGGATAGTTTAAATTGCTAAAAGATTAATCCAATACAATCAATTTTCACTTTCACCAATCTAAACCTTAATTAATTTTATCCATGTGGTAACAATCAATTCTTAATGTGATTAACTCTAAAAACTAATCATTTTACTCTTTTCTCAATTGAGTTTATCTATTAAATTGTTTTAAATGGAAAATAATTAATCATTTACCTTTTCGTAAATTGTTGAAGGTTAACTGGATTAAAGACAATGAAGAGAGAGGGAGAAGATGATGATTTGTATTCTTGACCATAAAGTTATCACAATTGTCCATTCAGTGGTAATTTTGTTAATCCATTAATGGTCAAGGTGAAAGTGTCACAATTAAGGTGATTAATATTGTCCACACATCTACACAATGGTGAATATTATTAGCCGAACTGGATGATGACAAGAATAATCCTACCATGGAATTGAGGTAAAAATGGATTAAACTGATTATTTGTATTTAGATAAGTAGGTAATCCAATTTTAGAAGAACAATTAAAAAAATGATTAAATTAAAAGTGAAAACAATCAACAGAACAAGAAGAGATTTGGTAACAAGAAGAAGGAAAATAAAATTCTAATCCAGTATATTTCCAATTCTACATCTTGATTCGTTTTCTTTTCTCGTTTATTTTTCCTTATATTCTGTTATTTATCTCTCCTTCTTTCTCTCTCTCTCTTTCTCTCTTCCTTTCAGGGGAATATTCTTTCCATGTTCCATGGAATATATTCTCATTGATTCAACTCTTTACTCCATCACAAATTCTGGTTCAGAATCAGATGAATCTGATTCTCTTTTCGCCCATTTGACGTCAAGAACTTTTTTTTCTCATAGAAGGTGAATATAAGTTTCTGTCTAGGTCATGGAGAATTTAATTCTAGGTCATCGATCCAATATTATCTCTCATGGAATCTGCTTGTTGAGAGAACCAGAATTATCATGAACCAGGAAGAAGAAGAAAAAAACTTACGATTCAATTATTGTGTCATTATTATTGTTAGAACATTAAAACACCGATAAAATTGGGAGAAAATGATTCACCAACGAAATGGTGATCTAATCATTTCGAATTGACAATTTAGAACTTTCCATAATTGTTATTATCTAATTAGTTAAATGGTCTATAATTAACCTAATTTAGATGATCTTTGATAATCTAATTGCTCTTTGGGATTAATATGGCAGGAAAATTGAAGTTAATCATCAAGGAAATTGATCCAATGGTTAATGAAAAGAAAGTGATTAATATTAAATTTGGTTAATTGTTGAGATGAAGGGAGATTGATGTTAACTTAATTGTAATATCTATCATGTTCATCAATTGATTGTTAATCTAAATTTTTTTTTTGTTTCTTTCATTAGTTAATTTTGCGGAAATGATTAAATTAATCATCTTTTTCCTAATAGTCCATTGAACTTGTCAATCTTATTTTTGAGATGATTAAGATTTAAATTGTTACAAATATAACAATCAACTTTGCTAAATCATCATGGTTGTTAAATATTACAATTAGTTAATTATTCCTAAACTAAACAGTTTCTATTAATATAATTAAACTTTGATCAGGAAGTTAAATCATGTTAGGAATTTAATTTCTCACCAACATAGATAATTTAATCAACTATTTATTTAAATTAACGATCATAACAATTTAACACCAATCAGAGTAAAATACAATCAATGAAAATTAATTGGTTACAATTAACAAGATATCAGTTTTAATTGTAACTTTCATCAGGGTGTTAACTTTGATTTATTGATCATTAACAATTAAGTATATTGGTCAAATCAACAATTAACTTTTTGATTATTAAATTTTTTCTCTTCAATTAGTTTTTTTTGTGATCAACTAAATGGACAAAAAATGAAATTTAATTTAATTTTGATTCATTTTCTTCCGGTAATCTGATTGATTCAATCAATTATCAGGTAAACATGATTAACACAATTTAAGGTGTGATTAACATAACCAACTAATTGAACAGTAATTATTAATCATTTTTTTTATTTCTCTCAACAATTAACAATATTATTAATTCGTGATCAAATCAACCGGTTGATTATTAGAAATTTAGTTTCTTTACTTTCGATCAACAATTAAAATTGATGATTAACTTTTTTTCTCAATCAACACTTTCATGATTATCGTGATGATAAAGGACTTGTTCCATTTTTGCCCCCTCACCGATTTTGCTGAAATTTCGATTTTAGATAGAGCTTAAAAAATAAATAGATTTGGCTGAAAAGGTTTTTCTCTAAGCCTCATACTTTTTGTGCTAGGCCATTTTTTCGAAAAAAACTTTGAAGCGTGTTTATGGCCAAACTACTTACGCTAGACACACAATTCTGGTGTTGATCGATAGCTAATTTTATTGTCTATAAGATGGTGTTATTTAAAATCTGAAAACATTTCGTCCCAATTCACGGCAGCGGAAAAAGACCTTCAAAAGTGACCTTACGCTTAAATCAACCGGGAAGCAGAATGAAAATACTTTTTTCTAATGCAGTTTTTTATGCTCTACAATAAATCGAAGTCAAAAATATACCTATCGGTATGCGTTTTTGAGAAAATTAGCAAAAACTATCTCAATCACGGAAAATGGCCTTTTTGAGATATATAGACATAATTTGGACTCGATTTTTCTTCGATAATATTAGTTTCATGATGTGCGCTGTTGATTGGCGTTGAAAAAAATAACACTATCGAGGGTCTCTATTTGGCCTTTGACAACGGACTTTTCAATGGCTAATAAAGGCCACCTTAGGCTTATGGAAGCACAAATTTTTCAGCATATACCTATGTAACATTTGATGCTCTATTCGTACACAAAGAAAAAAATAGGTCGAACACTATGCGTTTTCGAGATAAGATGAAATAACTTACAATTTTTATGATTTAGCGCTAATATAGACTAAGGTCATCGAGAAGCAGAACAAAAATAATTTTTTCTGATGTAATTTTTTATGGGCTTTCAATAATTGTTGATAAAAGATATCGGATCACTATGCGTTTAGAAGTTATGATCAGAAAACTAATAAAATTCATGCAAATGTGTTGATAAATATTCGAAAATTCTAAAATAGAACTAAAGTAACTTTTTCTAGTGAATTTTTTATCTGCTGCGGGAAAATGAGAGAGAGAAAGAGTAAGAAACGATGAGAGAAAGCGGGAAAATAGAAGAGAGAGGAGAATGAGAGAAAGAGCGGGAAATGAGAATGAGAGAGTGAGAAACGAGATTGAGAGCGGAAAATGAGAGAGAGCGGGAAAATGAGAGAGAGCGGGAAAATAAAAGAGAGAGGAGAATGAGAGAGAGCGGGAAATGAGAGAGAGCGGGAAATGAGAGAGAGTGGGAAAATGAGAGAGAGCGGGAAAATGAGAGAGAGCGGGAAATGAGAATGAGAGAGTGAGAAACGAGATTGAAAGCGGAAAATGAGAATGAGAGAGCGGGAAATGAGAGAGAGTGGGAAAATGAGAGAGAGCGGGAAAATAAAAGAGAGAGGAGAATGAGAGAGAGCGGGAAATGAGAATGAGAGAGTGAGAAACGAGATTGAGAGCGGAAAATGAGAATGAGAGCGGGAAAATGAGAATGAGAGAGCGGGAAATGAGAATGAGAGAGAGCGGGAAAATGAGAGAGGGAGAGCGGGAAATGAGAATGAGAGAGAGCGGGAAAATGAGAGAGAGCGGGAAAATGAGAGAGAGAGAGTGAACGGAATAATTGAGAAGTGTGAATTTACACTGAGTAATATCTATGCAATTTAATCTAATCTTTGAGTTTGTGCTCAATCTCATTGAATCTGTTTAAGTTGACTAGAGTTTCATTTTTTGCAGAGCTCCGTTTGCGTTATCCAGCCAGTACCACGAGGAGGAGGAGATGCAGTTTACTGACCATGGGGTTTTTTAACCCGATTTTTTTTAAAGAAAAGATAAATGAAATGAAAAAGATTAAATAAAAGTAAAAAGATAAATGAAATGAAAAAGATTAAATAAAAGTAAAAAGATTAAATAAAAGTAAAAAGATAAATGAAATGAAAAAAGATAAATGAAAAGTAAAAAGATAAATGAAATGAGAATATATACAAGTTATTCACGCTCAAGACCTATTTGAATTGCAAATGCACTGAGAGAAGAGGCTGGAATTCTGATATCTGATTTACTGCCATGGACAACATACCAAATAACAGTCAAAACATGACCACAGCAACCCATCGTTCTCAAGCCAGATGTACAAGAGCAGCAATGTTGTACAATGCGACCGAGTCCTTCTTGCGAAAGATCTAGTAGTATAAAAACCCAATAAAAGGTACTCGCTTTGTGACGGGATGGGATTTTTATACGTAGAAGGATTGGCTCATTGACATCTAATGGAGCTAAGCTTAGTTCTTCGAGTAAATTGTGACTTTCGAACTTGATGCCTTGTAGAGTTGTTAGCGCTCTTTGATAGTAAGTCGCACAATACTATTATTATTTCTGCTAGGAGCTATGGAGAGTTCAAGTGCACCCAATCATAAACGCAATCAAAGACTTAAGAAGAAAGAGAAAGAGCGAGAGATTGCAAAGCAATATAAAGAAAAAGGAGAATTTGATCCAAAAAAAGCAAAGAATATGCTGAAAAACGCTCGTAAAATGAAAAATAGAGCAGTGAAATTGTTTTCAGAGGCTATTCCCGCATTCGAAGAAGCAGCTAGAATTTCTAAAGTT